GTAAGCAGCAAGAATGTTCAGTAAAGTAAGATCTACAAACACATCACCATCACCAAAACACAATTTTGTCATGAATCCATCTGTGTCCTTTGTTTAATATGCACATAGACCAAGGTGAGCGACACAGGCTCTTTAGAGCCTCTAGTTTACCATGCCAAAGATACAAATCGAGTCAAAATAGGATTGAGAACGGGATAATAGGGACGAATTCAACTAGAAACGGCTGAATCTGGACTTTTTCGTAACAATTTCTGATTGTTGTCATGATTAAATACAATTTTTACAAATATTTTGAATTTCCAGTCATGAATCACTGGATCTTTTGATCAGACTTTAAACTTTGACTAATCGTAATCGGGAATAGTCCTATCAAGGACGATAGCAAAAATCCTGAAGGTGTGACTAAAACTTAAGTTAGTAATAATAAAAATTACGTTGAATAATTCACACCGGATATCTTGATCCGAAATCGCGGAGGGATCTGAATCCCGAGGAGCAAGTTATGAAAAGTATGTAACGGTGGGTAGGTACAATCTTGAGCAGATTCTCACGAGGTATTGAGTTGAAATTTTTAAAATTGTGTTGCTGTTATCTCTCTGGTTAAAATATACATACTTCAGAATAATTTGCTTTAGGACATTATCAGATCATTTTTTTTTTTATCATATATGGGCTATTCAAGATGGCCTTGTAAATTTGAAAAAGATTACGAATACATTTACTATCTAGTTATGGTCATTATAAATCTAATGATCAATAGCCGGTCAATATGGCATAAATCTGGCCAATCATTTTATCCTATTTGAACATATTAATTCCCTTTTTTGGAATCGGATCCAGAATAATTAAACATTTTACCTATTTTATACGTTATATACGTTTTGGACATGCACACATTTGCACATGTATGATGGTATACATATGAACATACAAAATTCCTCTGGTATGAAAGCCATGTCAATGCATTGCATATATGCATTTACATACATAGCTATATAGGCAAAGGGCGAGGTTCACTTCTTACAAAATATGGCCTTGAATTTCAACTTGATCATAAAAAATTAAAAAGGACAAAACTTGAAGTAATTTTTTCCCAAATCTCTTAATGCTAGGTAAAACAAATCTCCTCATAAGAGTACATTTAGCCTCCAAAAGGCAGCACATTTTGAAGATGTACAAACATCAACGATTTTGTGCATTTTTCGGACATAGGTTGCGGCCAAAAACCAGAGTTCTAAAAATTGCTATAAATTTTGGGGAAATTTGACCAAAACTGACGTTAGAACAAATAGTGCACGATGATTAAGGGGTCCTAACCTCGTAGTTCATACTGACGGACTTTAAAAACGCAACACTAGATTTTTCTTTTTAATTCTCATGTTCAAAAATGCAATTTTTGTAAAATAAATTTATAAACATAAATTTCATTCATTACTTCATTGATTAAAAAACGTTTGCCGTTCGAAAGATGAATTGATTACGTTATTTTTAATGTTCAAATCATGTGGTATGCACTAAAACCCTGGTTTTCCCCTTATCAATGGATGTTTCGCCGTCGAAAGCAATGACTGACTGTAACCAACGCATACAGGATTGACAGAAAGGTCAACCAGTTCTGTTGGGCATGTTTTGAGCTCTGTTTTGTATCTTTTGATTTGACCTCTGTTATACCCATTACAGTGTGTTTTTGGCAATTTTGCAGTTTAAACTTAAGGGCTTTAAATGTTTTTACTGCAGTCGATTCTTTGGCATTTCAGAATATGGGAAACATTTCTGGCGTGAATCTGTCTGCCACGGCATTAGACGACTTGATTAGCAGTTAACGTTGCGGTCGTAAACATGTTTCGCAAATGACTTTGTGTAATGAAATTTTATTGACGTGGCGTTGTCACTACATTTTGATTTGGTAATGGGTTAAATTGTCTTGCAACAGCACGTTCACGTATTCCTGCCTGAGGGAGTTGAAACCTTAGTTTCTTTATAATTTTAAAATTTATAAACGGTAATTTTTAGAAAAGTTTGTTATAAATCATGTCAGTATCGAACTACTGAGTGGATGATACCCTCGGGGACTAATAGTCCACCAGTAGCGATATCGACCCAGAGCAGTAAAAATGCAAACTGCACGTTAATAATTTCATGCATCCGAAGCGCTTTTTTGGATTTATCTTCAACAGGAACGCTCAAAGCCAGATATTTGAAAGTCAAGGATGTATAAGAACCGAAACATTTGAAGAGCTATATGACCAAAAGGACCTAATATGCGTATGGCTCGATTCAGATTTTTATTGATCAGTCTCGGCAATATTGAAATGCAACATTGTTTTACTGATTTGAGTGTGGGTATGGATTAAAAGAATTATTTCACGAAGACAAAAACCTTAAAAAAACATTTATTGGGTTTCAAATTTCGCTTTAAGAAATTCGTGCGACTTCAATAATCCGGTATGTTCAATAACCTCAGCTACGTCAGGTATTGAATTTTTCTAAACAGAAAGAAGTATGGTAAGCATGAATAGTAGTTATATGAGGATTAATCATGATTTGGTAAAAAAAAATCATCAAAATGTGTGTTGCGTTTTTAAGGTCCGTCAGTATATAATGTGATGTTCCAAAATGAGGTTATTTTGCATTAATGGTTATATCATAAATTTTTCTTTGTGAAATTTTTAGTATGTTGAACTGATTAAAAAAAAAGTAAAATCTTAGGCCCAATCTTAACTCGTTGTGCACCTACCCTTTGAACATGTATATATTTACTTTCATAGAAGTGTTAGCATTTATTAGCAAAAAATTCAGATTTTGGCAATTAAACCAGAAAAAGACAAGATAGTACAGCGGTATATATTGCCAAACAAAAGCAGTGCTAAGGTATCAATTTGATGACAGAAAATAGACGCAAATAAGATTTCATTCAAAATCCATAACTACAAAACATCTTCTGAAAGTGTCACTGCTTCTGGGAAATTTAAGATAATGACACTTTTCCTGGTTTGTCAAAACTAATTACTCTTTTTAGAACAAGAGAAAATATTAAACTTTTTATTAATTACTTCTATGTAAATCAGATGTAATCGTCTCATATCTTCGGGGCTAATGCCCCTCATATATGAGAAGCTTACATCCAATACATGAACGTGTTAATTTTCGCCATATTAACAGGACTCGATGGTTTGAAAGAAAGACGCGAGTAAAAACTTGCAAATAGGAAAGATCATTCATCCATCGTTAATATAAAAATAAATTGCCAATGAGACAACCAGAGTTCATATGACGTGGATGTAAGTAATTATAGGTCACCGTAAAAACTGTTCACTATGCATCATGGTCTTTCTAGTTCTAAATTTCCATGACATTTACATAACACTATTATTCTTCTATTTAGTGTAAAAGATCATAATGCTCCCTAAACTTTGTCTCAATGACGCAACCCTTCTTGTCCGTTTCTCATACGTCTGAGGTATGCTGGTGTTTCTCATACTTCTGAGGTATGATGGTGTTTCTCATACTTCTGAGGTATGATGGTTTAAATAAAGTACATCCAATACTTTCTCTACAATATTTGAGTTTCATCTTCTGCTTCAACATCTTCTGCTTCAACATCTCCCGTTATATACTAACGCAGTTTAATAATTTAAAATATATTAACTCCGGGTACAAGTAAAAGAAAACTACTCGTGTTCAGTATTATTTGAAAACCCCTTTAAACCAAAGATAATGTCATTTTCGTTACACGGGATTGTTTTATCGTTAATCTTTCTTAATCCTCCGTCTATATAGTACATATATATGCTACATTTGTAACTAAGATAAAAACAATCGACCGCTCCATGTCAAAATCATATGACTTCATACCAAATAACATTTGATTGATTTTAGCAACTTGTAAATCATTTGAAAGACAGATCCTCGAATGATCATATTCAAAACGACATTAATATTTTATCAGAAAGTATGATGTTTGCTAACTCTTTTAGAAAATGTGCATGGAAGCTAGGAAATTCAGTTATCTTTATCGATTAACATTGTATAATAATCAACTATGAAAAAATAGGCGATAAAAATAGGATGACGTCTAATATGTCATTGAATCGGCCCCAGCAACAACAAAAATGTAATCCCTCACTCACCATGAACTGTTAACTAATGGTGTTGTCGTCTTATTCTCCGTGAAAAATTGACAAAAACCGGACACAACAATTATCCCAAACTGTTTGCAAACAAAATAAATGATAACATTAATAAAGAATAAAACAAAGTGAAAGTAAAAAAATACAAATAAACCTTCATGGAACTCTCCCCCGGAATCGACAACCCATTTTGTCGAAGAAGGAGACTGGTTGATATCCTTCCCTTTTTAAGAAACACTGACTTATTCAAAACTTGCAAAATTGAACTTATATAATTTTGTGTGCACCCTTGGCTCTCCAAACAGCTGACTTTCAGTGTTGGTGATGTCAAAGTAAATCAGAACGCAAACCCCATTCGGTACATTTCAATTTGTTTTACAACGAATTAGGGATTTCTGTTTCCTGAAAGATATTCACAAACTACTTTGTAATATTACTCTTTAAATTATTATTAAATGTTACGTTTAAAAACCTCTGATTAAAACTAATAAATAAACATAACTGACAATGATTAAAATTTACTGACCGTAAATAAATCTAATTGAAATCATATACTTTAATTTATAATTCTTTGCATAAACTTTAGTACTGTAATAAACCGACTGAAGTTTGAAAAGTTTGCGGATTTGTGTTTTGTTATGGAAATTCTTTTGTTTGAAAGCGATATTAATAAGGATTATACTGAAGTATCTAACACAAAACATTACCTTAAAATCTACGTCTTACGAATCTAAAATTTGAATTTCAACCGTTTAAAGCCCTGCTTTATATTTGAAACCCCATAAAAGATCAAGTCGCATTTGCAAACTTGTATCCTTTCCAGCCGAGCGATTTATATATATACTGTATCAGATATTTAAATCATAATCTTACAAAAGACTCAATACACGGACATACAAAGACATGTCACAGTACAGAAAAACGATTTACATCCGATAGTATATATTTTACATTTGGATCCAAGCCCTGTTCAGCTTAGTAACAAGACAATTCTTTATCAAGCGGGTCTTAATTTAAAAAATTGACAAAAATCTGCAGAGGACAAAAGGGTATCGTATTTGTTTGTGTGTAGAAAAATCAATGTGTTTTAAGTCAACTTTGTAAATTGATAACAGGAAAACTAAACATAAATTAAAATGTAATATATGGATTTCTGCCAGTGTGGGTATGAAGTGAGGAACGAAGACCCAACACTCAAGAATTTTGCCGGAGGGACATAATAATGAAACAACTTGATTGATATTTTTGGATTTGAAAAAAGGAGATATAAATATTAATAAATACATATCCGTGTTTTCAAGATCGGAATAATGAGTGGAGTTGTTTTGCCACACATTCCTGGTGCTCTACCATCCTACACCAGATCCCTACCCGCGGGATTTGACTCAAGATCTCGACCCTTGAGTTCGAGTAGTAATGCGAGTGGTTATACTGTAGTTCCTCACGTGTATTATGGATCGCATGGTAAGTCTATATATATATTTTTTTTACATTCAATGTGTTAATATTTAATGATTTGACAGAATAATGTTTAAAATATGTCGATAAAATGTAGCATTAGCATAAATATGTAATTTTATGGTTTTATGTTTCATAAAAATGTTTAATTGTTTTGATAAACATCTCTTGGCTTGAACTTGTATGTGAAATTATGAGAGATAGCATTTTTAGGTCCACAAAAATGAATTATCAAAGAGACCATCGTACGACCATTTAAGATTTTTCTGTGGGTTTGACTCATCCTTTTTCATGTTGTGATCTTTCAATTTGTAAAATTTAGGAAACTTACAACTATTGACCTGAAGAAAATCCTTTTGAAAATTTATCAAAGACAAAAATAATTCATCACATATGCACGCATGTTGTTTAAATAAATGAATTATTTGCTTTTGTTCAATAGTTTATCATCGGTATTATCCTCTATTTCTGTCTGTACCTTAGATCAACACATCTTTTCACAAAACGGCCTTAGTGTTTTGTTTAACCTTTGACTGACAGCAATGTAGTGTGCATATTGATCAATTGAACACATTAAAGCTTTTTGTTATTCTTTTTATATTACTTTTTTACTTGTTGAATGAAAAATGTTAAATTTCTTTCTTATTTGCCATTTGATTTATGAGTTGAAAACTGTGGTTTTTTTTGTCTGGTCAGACTAATTTTGAAAATAGAATTAAGGACAAGAATTTTGTAAATATTCTTTCTCATTATGATTCCTTTACCACATGTTACGAATTGGTGGCGATTACTGTTCCAATCACAAAAATCGACAGATCAACAATTCATAAGTCATAACAGTCCCCTTATTTTATGTGGAAGATCAGACTCCAGACATCCATTTTGTCTACTTGTATTTTATATATATACTTTTGAAAGAAAAAATCCTATTTTATGTGTAAGATTAGACTCTAGACTTCCATTTTGTCTACTCGTAGTTTACAGTTTTAAACTTTTTAAAATAAACAAATTTATGAGAATGGTCAAACTTGTTAGACCGTTTTAACCAGTAATGCTGTATTATATGAATAAGACTAGATGTGGGTATAAGTCAATGGGACAGCAAACCATCGACACAAACTTCAAATGACATATCGAGGTCACATCAATGAATGCTTGCAGTGACTAAAGCAAGATCATAATACTTAATTGTTGATTTGAGACCTGCCGAGGTCATTGTTTTGTCTTCAACAATGTTCTGGATGATCATATTTAGACTTGTTATTTTATTTTATTTATAAGTTCTTTCAGTTTTAAGTAATAGCTTCCAAGATACCTGCTGTATGACTAATTTCTGACACCCTTGGCTTTTCAGTGGTAATCAATTTAATTAGCCCATCTACAGGTTCGAGGATCCCGGCTAGTCCTCGTCCTGAATACATCTGAAATATTTGCTGCTGCACGTTATGCTACAAACTAAATGGATCTTCCTCGTGTTCAATGTTTAATGTTCCTAACTACTTCTAGTGTTTACCTATCTAAAATATTGTTTTGGTTTTAATAAGTTGCTCTCATACGTTACATGGTATTTATTGTATCTATTCATTGATTTCCATTGTTAGTTACTTTACTTTGAGTGTTGAGAGTCCATAAATCTACATTTATAACACGTACAACTAACTGGTTGCTGTTTTTAAGTCAACTTTCCAACAGATAAATAAGTTAAACTGACCTCCAAATCAATAGTTTTTCAAGAGGAATACTAGTTTATCTAGTTAACTACACACGACATTTTCACACGCTACCTTTGTTTTACTTTCTGATTGATTGTTGCCATACTATGCCAGTCCTCAAGTGGAATGCAATCCTCAGGCCTTGGCTAGAGCCACGTAAAAATGTCACAAGGATCAATAAATTGTAATCCTTTCCCTAACATCGAATAAAACAAGAAGTCAAAACAAGTGCTTATACATGCATAATGGTTTTAGATTCAATCTTGAAATACAGAAGCATAAAATTTTTATGTTTTACTAACAAGAGAGTGCTCTAAAATTTTATCTCTAATGCCTGAGGATGTTTTTTATATGATCATGGAAAATAGAAAATAAATGAATTATTTATTCAAATAATAAGGTTTTATAAGATTGGGTATTTGTATTGTGATATGCATTACTATCTATGTAGACAGAAGGAAAGAGAAATATTCGATACATTTTTCATTAAAAAGGGCATAAGTATTATATACAAAATATGTATCTAGATAAGAAGGCAAATCTGCTTCATTTGTATATGTTTCACTTGGAGGCATTTTTCCAGTTTACTAAACAGGTGAACCTTTCAGGGTTTTGTTCTTTTGGAAACCTAAATGCACATATAGGACAGATCTTTTGCTCTTAGAATTCTTCGTATCCACATTTTATGAAAATAAGGAGATGTGGCCAATGAGACAACTATCCACCAAAGTTCAAATGGAGTGGATGTAAACAATGTATAGGCAACCTTACGGCCTTCAACAATGAGAAAGCTTTGCTTGTAATGTTACCTTTAATCGGTAATCCTTCATTTTCAAATATGGAACTCAAAAGTTTAAGGACATATTTATGTAGTTAGTCATAATTACGTAAATTCAATTGTATTCCATTATTTAACTTGACATAGAAACCCAAAACGAAAATTTATGTAAAATTGTTTTGTTTATTAACAGCAATATCAACTCCTTGACACAATCCTATTTAAATATACGAAAATGTTATTATAACGAGGGGTAACGGTGAATAATGTATTACAAACCTGGTAAATTACCCCCTTTAATAAACTGTAACTTTTACAAATAAAGCTTTTTCTACTTCTCAATCAAAAGGGAAAGTCACACTCTTGTTTAAATAGTCATTCACTTAAATAAATATGTAATTGTTATTTGAAAGGTATATTTAAAACATTTATCCCTAAAATAGTAAATTAAATAGGACACCTTTAAATTTTCAATATATAAAAGACAGTTAAGTCTGTATTGTATAGGTAATGGAAATGTCGTGTAGTCTTTTGTCAACAAATTAGCTTTTTAATTTAGTCTACAGCAAAAAAATAAAATAGAGGTGCGTCTCGTTTTCCCAAAGGTTCAATGGGTACTAAGCTAGCATATTAAAATACATGTATTCAAAGAGGACGTTAATGATAGATTGAGAGAACTTATTAGCAACATACAGAAGTACACCCACATACTTTCAAATGTGTGATCACATCATTCTTCTATATACTCTCCAGCTAGTGAACACACCATTTATCCATATATACTTTCCAATTTGTGACCGCTTGTTTATGCCTCTTTTCTACCATTTGAATAATGAAAAAACAAACATTCTGTATGTGCCTGTCCAAAGACAGGAGCCTGCAATTCAATTGTTGTCGTTTATTTCTGTATATCATATTTGTTTTTTTTTGTTCATTGTTTTGTACATAAATCAGGCCGTTAGTTTTCTTTTGAATTGTTTTACATTTGTCATTTCGGGGGATTTTATAGCTGACTATGCGGTATGGGTTTTGCTCATTGTGGAAGGCCGTACGGTGAACTGTAGTTGTTAACTTCTACGTCATTTGGTCTCTTGCGGAGAGTTGTCTTATTGGCAATCAAACCACTTCTTCTTATTATTATATTGGGTATTCGTTGTGTGTTTAAGAGAGCAGTTCAGTCAATCTTTTCTATAAAATTTGATAACAAAACTTAACATTCACTACAAAATGCGTGGCTTCGATACCACTGTCTTCAATTGTCAAATCTATTCGGTGTAGTCCCTAGAGTATATCTCATTTGCTTCTATGTTAGTCCAGCAAATTCTATACTAATCTAAACAAGATTAATCATCATTAATTGTCGTTTTGCTTATTGATTTTTAGAATAATATTTTTTCTGCGCATTTCTAAACATTACACGCATACCTATCAAAGAGATAAAAGCACTTACAATGTACTTGATTATTAAGGCTGATATTATATGGAATCAAAACGAGATACGCAGATTAAATTATCAACATCTTTCAGAAAAATACGATAATAGAAAAACAAGATAAATCGAAATGTAATGCTAAATATTGTTTGGTTAACTTAAAGTTTATTAAAAGGTTTATAGATGGTGTTTATTTTACAACTTTGAGATCTTTATTAATTTGTTTGCAGAATTTGATTATTAAACCCAGTACATTAAAATTAAATACTGGCCGTCGTGTATTCTTAAAGGGGGTATTTGATGGTAATCATGCATATTTATGGTTATTCAATGTATTTCAATGCAATCAAGGATAAAATCGTAAACATGTTGACATCTAATGCCCTGAACGATATGCCATGACTATTGGAATAACGTCCTGTTAATGACGCGACAAAAAATGAAAATATCTTGAAATTGAACATTATTCACCCGTTACTTCTAGAATTTCTGAGAAATGGATGATGGAATTTTTAATTTTTTTTTTTTTTTTTTTTTTGTACATTGTATATGTTATTCAACTGTGCTTGTCTCACTAAGAAAAGGAACTTGATACATTTTGGCATAACGCTTTAAGAAAAAAAGACCTAAGTGGTAGGGTTGCATGTTTCAGAATTTTCTGTTTCACTTATATACTTCTTCGAACGTTCTGTTATAAAATGTTTTTGTAGTTTTTTTTTAATCAAAAACATGCAGATCTTTTTATGTATTAATGGAAAATGTGAACTTATAATTATAATAAAACACATCATAATTTCAAAACACCAAATTTGCCATACCAACTTGGTTATTTTTAGCACAGTGTAACTCGAACGTCTGTTTTCTGAAAACAATACAGTTTCTTCTATGCATGCTTTACTTCTTACACATTTCATTAGCATAGCCAAATGAACACGATGGATTTGATACCTTCTAGTAATATTAATGGCATTTAGGGTGCTACACGAGTTAGTTGAAAACTATAGTTCAAAATGCTAAAATATCGGCTGATATCAAAGTGATAGGAGAAAATCAGGTGATTTTTTAAAATGCAACGAATTTGTATTGACTGGCAGTCACTCGAGGTTAATGTTTTAAGTGATACTTGATATTAATATGATGAATTTCCGTTTTTCCAAATTTATCCAAAATGTACCCGCTTCAACTATCACGCATGATTTAACTTTCGAATCTATGCTCAAAACACTGTGTATTAATTACTGACTTCCCCATAAGCTAACTAGTACAGACAACTATCGAGTTACATGGGAGACATCATTTATTCACAGTGTGTGTCGTGTGTGTCATTTCTCAATAGATGATGATTACTCTTTTTTATTGTCGTAGAAGGAAACAAGATGGTTAATGAACCTACAAAACGGTTCAATATTTGATTGATAATTTCTTGCATTTTACACAAACCCATATTTAGCATTGTGATATTAGTAGACGACCAAAGGTCGCAGCCCTCCTATGAAATAAAACCCTGTTAGTCTTATTATTCTGTATACAATCAGAGAGTACATTGCTCTTACAATACTAGAAGCTAATCTTTTAATTGATTTTGTTTTAAATGTTGAGAAAAAAAACATGTGACAATATTAATCGTGTGACCAGTTGGTTCCTTTTGTAAATGGGTATATTCTAAAATGTAGTTTAATAATGATTGAACGATACTGCAGTTTTTTCAGATGACTTTGCTTGCCTTTATGCAGTGATAATGAAAATGTCTTCTTCTTCTTCAGATATATGCAGTTTCCGTGGCCCCACACGGTCTAGTGGACGATCATACTCTAAATTGCCCTCACTCAGACATAAGGTATGTTCCAATTACAAAGTCGCACAATTTTGTTTTGTCTTTTTGTCTTTTACTGGGGAGAGGGCGGGGTTAAACTGGCAAGCATTTTTAATTTCGACATGTTTAAAGTAAAACGTTATATCAGTTTGTAAGGGATGTTGGATTAACTCCAGTGAGATAACAACCTTAAAAGGTAAAAATAAAAAAGAGCTGTCAGCTTCCATTTCATTAATATCTTGTATATCCTTTTTCACTTAAAAAATGTTGCTTCAAATAATTCAAATATTAAAACCATATTTTGAAATATAAAAATTCGTGCCTCTAGAATTTCATTTTCAATATCGCATTCACTTTAAGTTTTAAAACTGTTATTTTTCTAATAAATTGTTAAACATAAATTGGAAAGAAAAGCAAACAAAAAATATGTTTACCTTGTGGATATCTTATCTTAATAAATCTTACAACGGTTTTGCAAGTTACAACATACAGTAGCTTTCACATGGTACTTGTAATAGATTGTCTTTTTTGACGTGCATATGTTTATTTTGGAGGTCATTTGTGGTCTAATTCATAGCTAATCAGTACAAATATAAACGTTCTTAAACACCTGTCAATTACATAAAGAAATCAATATTCATTTCGTGCTCTGAACTTGGATAAAAGTCAAATCTGAAACACTCAAAAACTTTCCGTTTAATATCTTATTCTAATATTAAAAGTGTATCACTTTAGTATACTTGTTTCTGCATAGTTGGTATCATACTGAGGATTATGCATTATTCACCATATCCACGACTTGACCAGGATTGTACAGTAATTAATATAATACCAACATTCAACCAATACCTCGGTATTTGAATGTTACCCGGTCCGATACCAATAGTTCAGTATACCGATACCAATAGTTTAGTTTTTTAGTGTTTTTTATTTATGTTTCGGTTTTTTACAGTAATCGCTAATATAGTAAATGACTTCTATTTATCCTGTTATATATATATTCGTGACTATAAAAATAATTAATTGCACATTTAGATAGCAATTATCAAGATTCATTTATACTGCATAAAATTATTTTATCTATATTTTGCATATTTTGTTAGGCGTTATCAATTCATAATGTTCAGTTTTATTACTTCAGTTAAATACCCTTATTTGACTTTTACAGAAGAAATAAAAAACTTTGAATATCTTCTACATGTATATGCAGTTTAAATAAGAAAATATCAAATTTCGTTTAATTGAACCATATCAAATGAACGTGTTCATTATTCAGTAATCGTGCTTTTAAATAAGCAAACATGATAAAAATCAGCCGTACTGACTCTATGAACCGAACTTGAAGCAAGTCAATGTGTCTCTTCGATACAACCGGTCCAGATTAAGTTTCAATTCAAAAAGAGTTATTGACATTTGAAATATCAATAAAAAACAACTGTAGTTTGACGATGTTCAACTCTCGTAAATAAATTTTTAATCGATTGTTTTAATTCTAGATACGATGAAAAATGAGACACAAGTGCATAATTTATTTTCAACAATAAGTTGCTCCACAAAACCTCTTTCCGAACTATTAACATCAATTTCATCAGCAATCAAAATCGGGCTTAAAAGTTGTTGTGAAATTACCTACAATATACTCTAGGGTCGATGTTAATCAGATGTGGACACTTAACAATTCCAATGATCTGCTAGACTACATACAATCTAAGTGTCGTTACTCTTGAAATTGTATACAAACAATTGACTTTTCAACCCTTTACACAAGTGTTACCAATTCCAAAATTTAAAGATAGATTGAAATCTTTATTCAAACTTTGTTTTATAAAAAAAGATTGACCGCCAATGTAAATGCAAATATCTTGTTTAAGGGAGGGATAACCTCCTCGTTTTGCTGACTTGTTCCTTTATTCAGATGAGGCAGCTTTCATCAAGGAGCTTCTTAGATTATCCCCTGTTTGTGTTCGTGTTGCCCAGTCTTAAGTTTTCTACGCTGTGTTTTGTAGACTGTAACAGTTGTTTGTCTTTTTGTCGTGCTTCGTTTTTTGCCATGGCGTTGTCTTGGTTACCCTTTGGTATCTTCCATCTCTCTTTTTATGACAATTATTTCAACTGTTTACCCTCTATTCCCCAAATTGTATATCTCAGACACCGAACAGTTTATAGCTTTTTAAAGTTTGAAATATACTGACATTAACTTTGTCTCAAGGATAGGATTTAAAGGGTTTGTCATAGAATTTGACGTAAACTTTTCAATTAAATATATTTTCGTAAACATGTGTATTCATCCTAACACAAAACGACATGGACACACATTTGAATATTTTGATATGAAGTGTCTGAAGTATTAGCCTTTGACTCTTTGGCTTAGAACAAGTCTATTTAGAAATAAAAGATTACATCAATTCCATTAAATGTTTTAAAGAGACAGTTGTTATTACGCTTCTATAATACATATTTAATGTATTTCATTTCATTGAAATTGAGAAGTGGGTTGAGCAGAGGATACATGATTTATTTCTCGTGTCAAAATTGTTAATTCAATTCAAAATCTGTTCTAAAAGTCACTAACAAGGATGTGACGTAATGTTCAGTATACTGTGTTGAAAATGACTGCGTTTTCGTTTTCTGATTGTGAAAGAATAAGTAGGGAGTATAGTTTGTCGCTTCCCCCTATTACACGTGAAATTCGTAAATTGGATATATTTCTATCTCCGTCACACCCGTCTGCAGTACAGTCGTTCCCAAAGCTAAATGTAAGCATTCTTTGTCTTTGAACTTTAATTATGTGGTCAGATTAGATATCTGTCATACTCAAGAAAGTTAAGATTATTTCAGCACTTGTAAAAACTGACTTCTGTAGCCGTCAGTATGTCTCAAGTTTTAATAAATTCACATGTAATGCTTTATGTGGAGATGATGTTTATTTTTTTATTTTTTCAGGGAGGTCCCAGCAGTCTTAACTCGGAAATAAGTTCACAATATTCTGCCAAGTATAGAAGTACATCAGATCTCAGCCAAACAAAAGTAGCCAGCTCACCTTTCTTGCCCAAGGTAAGTGTACGCCGTATTCATAAAATTTCTACGAATACTGTAAAAATTTGTAAGAAACAAACATGGTTGGTTTCCCTTTCTACCACCAGTATCTTATACATGTTTAAAAAAAAGTATCTTCCAAATTCAGTTTAAAAAAGAACAACTATAAGATTTCTTTCATAGTTTTATTTTTCTGGTTTATATTTAATAGAATGAATTGTTGATGATAATATGCATGCCAGATGTCGGTAACCAGATAATTGCCCTACTTTCATGCCATAATTCTTGATATATCCAATTTACAATGTAGTATGTAGAGAGTTTTCAACAGAAAACTTTAACTTTATCCTTTAAACAGAAACCATGAAAGTCAACACGTACACATTTGATTCAAAATGTCGAACCCACTGCAATATAAGATAATAACTGTTGGCAGCTCCGAGAAGTACCAAAAATCGAAAGTTATTTTTACTATAAAGAAACACTTACTTAACATATATGGTGATGCTATAAATTAAAGTAACTTTAAGATTTTGGGTTGGAACATTGCACTTTCTACAGTAAAGTAGTAGATAACAGGTTTTAAGGCGTCAAACCTACTACTTATACATGGATGGCAGGTATTTTAAAGAACTTTTTGTTGAAATTTAGAGGCAAAATAAAACATAAAGAATATAGATAAAGTAAGCACGAACCAACGTGACCTTTTAAATTCTACACAACTTCAAAATCAATAGCTAAAATCAGGTCAAAGTTCACTTTATCGCAAAGTTAAGTAAATCTCATTTTGGCAAAAACTATCAATTATATCTAGAATCAGGTCAAAGTTCACTGTATCGCAAAGTTAAATAAATCTCAGTTAGGCAACACCATCAATATTCAGGTCAAAGTTTACTGTATCGCAAAGTTATATAAATGTCATTTAGGTAACACCATCCTGTATTTGAAAATTGTACAAATAGGGTAGTTTTACAGTTCAGCCCTGCAATACAGAGCCATGACATGGATTTGCCTTCTTATCCGTGATCTTATGAATCAGGTCTAAGCGAATATGTTTTTTATTATACCTTATATAAGTATCATGGATATTGTATTTGCACAAAGATAAAAAAAAATTGAGAATGGAAATGGGGAATGTGTCAAAGAGATAACAATCCGACCAAAGAGCAGAAAACAGCCGAAGGCTACCAATGGGTCTTCAACACAGCGCGAAAATCCCGCACCCGGAGGCGGGCTTCAGCTGGCCCCTAAACAAAAATGTGTACTAGTTCAATGAAAATGGACGTCACACTATCTCTTTTTTACATTCTCTTTGTATTTGTCATAACGTATTCGATTTTTTAACCACTTCACGGAGACTCTTGGTCGTATGTGCGACTTTTTAAATATGTGGTTGTTTTTGTTAACGTCGTGCGGCAAGTATTTCGGAATTTAATCTCTATTTTATTTTTACTAAACCATCTATATTGATATAGGGTGTAGTTAAGCAAATCATATATCATGTTTGGGAGGGGTATTTGTAAAAAATACTATTTTGGGGGGAGGGGGGGGGGGGGGTATGATTGTCTATCAGTTGTCAGTCAATATTATTGATGTCAAGTAAATTTTTGACTTATTATCCGAACGTTATTTTGGGGATTGAAACATGAAAAATTAATTTTTAAGAGGTCAGGAAGGTTAGAATTTGTTTTTTAATCACTCTTCCAAAGCTACACAGAAGAATTTTAATATACAAACTGCTAAATAATGGCATAAGTAATAAATTTGTATCTATTGTTAAAACTTTATATCCATCAGTGCGTCTTCGTGTACGATCCGGAGGAGTGCTGTCAGATGCGTTTGATAATTTTCTTGGTGTAAAACAAGGGGAACCTCTATCTCCTTTGCTGTTTTTGTTTTTTATCAACGACATTATTCAAGATATTTCCGTTGAATCAGATAATAACATTGTGTCTCTAAGTGGATTTTTAATATATTTGATCTTATTTGCTGATGATACTGTACTTTTTGGAAAATCACCGAATGTGTTGCAGCATTTACTTGATAAATTACTATTATATTGTAATAAATGGAACATAGAAGTGAACACGGAAAAGACAAAGGTTATTGTTTTTCGAAATGGATGGAGGCCTGTGGTAATCGTTTTTATTACAATGACAGAGAATTAGAAATTGTGAACTCCTATGTATACCTCGGTGTGTTGCTCCACTATAATGGAAAATTTTTGCAAACTCAAAAGCGTTTATCTCAGCAAGGTTCAAGAGCGTTGTCTTCACTTATAAATTCTTTGAAACAATTGTATCTGACTACTGAACAACAGATTTTTCTATTCGATAGTATGGTTGGATCCGTTTTAAGTTATGGGGCTGAAATATGGGGTTTTCATCGTGCTGGTGATATAGAGCTTATACATAATAGATTTTGTAGATTTGTTTTAAAACTTGGCAAGAAAGTCCCTACAAATTTTTTATATGGTGAACTTGGGCATTTGCCATTGCATATTTTGAGAAAATTTAAAATCCTGAAATATTGGATTCATATTGTAACTAATAAACCTCATATTGTATATGAAGTTTATAAACTTTTGTACGAAGATGCAAATAATGGTAAAATTAATTGGGCGTCTAACGTCAAAAATTTGTTATGTAACCTTGGATTTAATGATGTATGGATTTCACAAGATACTAGTAAATTATCATTTGATTGTGTTAAAACACGTATTAAAGATCATTTTTTACAAAGCTGGAATACAGCTTTAGAAGAGTGTAACAAATTATGTATTTATAAACGATATAAACTAGTATTTGGTATCGAAAAATACCTAGATTTCCATTGTAATGTATCGATATTAACTAAATTGCGTAGCGGCACACTTAAATTAAATGTTGAAGTTGGTCGTTATCCAAATATTCAAAGAGAAAATAGAATTTGTATATGTTGCAATATGAATGTTTTAGAGGACGAATATCATTTTGTTTTATCATGTCCAGCATATAGATCTGTGCGACTAGAATTTTTACCTAAATTTTATTATTCTTGGCCAAATCGGTACAAGTTAGACAATTTATTACAAGCTCATTGTAAATCTCTGACAGTAAAACTATGCAATTATTTAAACGCAGCTTGGAAAATTAGATCACATATATTGTCATAATATTATTGTATACTTTGTAACTACTGTTCTCTGCTGTCTTTTGTTTGTCATATATTGTATATATTTTTTCGTTTGCCATAGCATGTATATGCTTCTTGCAAATAAAGTATTCATTCATTCATTCCATAATACCCATGTGTATTCCATGACTAATTTAGTAGTTTGTGTTAATCCATAATACCATGTATAACCGATTAAGATAATCTCCATCATTAATCTACCTTGAACTGCAATGTATTTTATTATAATTTTTTTTTCCAATTGGGGTAATAAGGTCATTGACAAAGTTTTTGTTTTAAAATACAAAGAAATTAATTCTAAAAGGAATCAATGACTATACTCAGGTACTCACTATGTCATCATGGTAACCAACCAATCTTATACTATTTCCAATAAGTCAACAACCAACAAGAGACCACAGAAGGAGGAGTCGAACAACTATAGGGCGCCGTACCTAAGTTTATCACTTTCATTATATCTATTCTGAACACTATCACCCCACACAAAAAATAAAAAAACAACGAAAAACACTTATTAATAAGTTAATGGGAAACATTATACATACATGTATAAATGTAACTTTAATTATGTCAGGTATGCAGCAAGAATCAACCAACGTACGTTGATCGACATGACGAAGTCGTTAACGAATCGCAGATATGTTGTCACTATGATATTTCAGCAACGTTGCAAAGCATAGCAATGTAGAATAAATATTTCACGTTTATATGAAACCTCAATTATTGTTAACTTATGTACTAGAACACATTCAGTCTTTTGTAGATTTTAAAATACTTTTTTGTATTAGATATAACCGTCATTATTCAATATGGATCCGTTTCCAATTATGTCTGCAAATTCCTCGTAAGTCATTTCTATGTATCATCACCATGTTTGTTCGGCTTAATTATCAGACCAACATTTAAATAAATAATCAACAATTCCATACGGATTAATCTTGGTTGTATTAGAATTATTAAATGTATGTAATTTTATCGTAGCCAAGCTGAAAAGAGTCAAATTTATATAAGAAACCTTATCCAAAGTTTCACGAACAAATGAATATGATAATTTGATTAGGCTAGTTTCAACGTGTTTAATTAAAATAAATTAATTTCAAATTTTATGTCGCATGTAATTGCCAATTTGAACTATTTCAGTCGTTTTTTAATTTGCATCCTGTTAACAGTAAAATAAATTTTAAACTTATTTGTAATGCAAAATGATATGTGCTGGCATGATTTGTAAAGTTCACTAGAACGTTAACAATATACAATAGACTATGTGCGACTTGTGCTTTAAAATTTCTACATGCACTTTAAGTACTTTGATTAAACGTATTTTAGCAATAAAAACGTTGGAAAATATCATCAATAATACGCAACAATTATCAAAGATGTTTTATTAAACATTTTTGTTTAAATGATAAAAAAATGAAACCATTTCTTCTGTATAAATAGTCCTATCTTCTGAATATCTAAGCACAAAATAAATCAGTTTCTACACGCAATTTATTATCCTTATTTGTTGTGGTACCCTACGTTATTCATTCAAGTGTAGATATATTACACGTAACTCTATCAAGACAAGAATTTTTGTGATGGCAAGAAGATTTATCCTGCAAATCTTTATATGTAATTTCTTATCTTCGTTTTGCATGATTTATGGAAACAGTCATGTAACCATCATGCAGAAGACCGCTTTCGCCAAATTTCTGTCTTGGTAAACTGATTCTAAATTGATAGAATTATACCTATAGCATCTATAAAACATGGTTTTAATTTCAAATGGTTTTAATTTCAGTCTGACTCCGAAGAATGTCTAAAATGCTTGTTAAAGGTTCCTCACAAGAGGTGTGAATCGGTAAGTACAGAAAGAATATTCGCTATTGCTTAATATTTTAAGATTTCTTTTTATCTAAGAGACAACAATAGTAAATGTTGCTTCTGGTCACACACTTTACTTACTTACTTAGGCCCTTGGTTCCTCCGGGGAGCACAAGCCATTGACGACAGTGGTCACACACTTTACTTACTTACTTAGGCCCTTGGCTCCCCCGGAGAGTACATGCCATTGACGACAGTGGTCACACAGTTTACCAGTGGCATAGCCAGGGCTGAATGGATGTGGATGCCAAACTGTCGGCGAGCGTAGCGAGTCCCAAAACCTCGCCGAGCAGAGCGAGGCGAAACATTGTTTTGGACCATTTTATGCAGAAATTTTTTTTCCCATTTTTTTGTCCATTATTCATTTTTCATTATTCAAAATTCAATATTCAAATGTACCTAGATGGAAACGGGTATTTATAAGCCCTGGAATGATCGCAATCTGTCACAAATTGAGTTTTTATCAATTCGTCTTTCATGTCACAGGATGCGATATCAGGATATGGTGTGTTTTTTTTGGTGGTAAGGTTGTTGCTTCGTCAGATGTTGAAGCCATTGCTCCGCTTGGCTCAATTTCAGACGAAACTTGTCCGCGGGTCTGCGTATCATCATCTTCTGCGCTTGCAGTAGCCGATGACGTAGACTTTTTACGAAAAAAGTCGAGAACGCTTTTCTGCTTTTCCATCTTGTTTACAGAAACTAAATGAAGAACACATGCTTCGGAAATGATTTGGCGTTGTTCTCATGTCCTTACCCCTGTAACATTCGGAGACCTACGCGTTTATCTGCTGCGAACATATGCGATTACATGCAATTATATATTTTTTTTATTTTTTTATTTTTTTTGTCAAAATGATGTTGATGCTTGAGCATCTGAGCATACATGCAAGCTACGCCACTGTTTACTTACTTACTTGGCTCCTCCGGGGAGCACATGCCATTGACGACAGTGGTCACACAGTTATAGGTCATTAGAATACAAAGATTCATTATGTCAATGTACATAATTGTTTGATAGTTTTAGTTTAAATTTTTCTCGAACTTGTCAAATCTGAAAATGACCTGTAGAATAGTCCTTTTAGATATTTACCCGAATAATTCAGTCCCTCCCCGTAATCGATCTCTCCTACTTGCGATGGAGTAATCGTAGATCAGCGGAATATAACGACTGAATTATTCGGGTTATTTAGATATCAGAAACACAGAACTTACTTAATAAAGCGACGACTTTGAAAAAGCTAACTGTCACCATAATTGTTTAATTAACCAACGCCCATTTATTGCGCTTGACACCACAGCGTGAAAAAGTTCCTTTATAATTATTGCATTTAAAACTAAATTTATGCTTAAAAGGGAAACTTCGGAAAAAATATGTTTATTATGTATGAAAAGCACACATTCATTGCGTTTTCATTGCAACAACTTGGCTGTTTGATTATTTATCTGATGGTAATTTAATTTTTAATGAGGCTTTGTTGCCAAAGATGTTTATTTGGATACTAGTATTCATATTTTTTCACTAGTTGAAGGAATAAGCGTAGACATACATGTACATGAAAGGAGATGTTAAAATTTAAATATTGCTATAGATCTTTTCCATGTTATATTCATATGCAAAGTTTCTAGTCATGACTTTTGTACATGTCACTCGATCGGAGAAGACTGTTTAGGCTATTGAGATGTAGTTTTGAAATACGACCCCATATGCAATAAATTTAGTAATAATTTAATGTGGTGTTAGCAAACCAGTGTCAAAAATAACCAAGTCAATGTAAAACATACTTATTGACCGGTTGCAATCACATTTCTTTAGAAAAAAGAGTTGTTATTTTATGGTATTACTGCATAGATATATTGCTAGCCAAAGTAGAAATTTAATGTTAAGTAGTCAAATTATGTTTTCAAATCAATATTGATATCGCTTTGATATGGATTAAATATATCATGCTCATTTCAAGGTTTTTAAAAACTCTCTGAAGTACACTAACATTAAAAAGAATTAAATATAAATTATTTGCATTGATAATGTATTTTATATATTACACGACTTTAACTTCTGTTAATCATTTGACCTTTTGATTGGTAGATATGCCTCCAAGAATATACGGATCTTTGGTGTATATTTGAGTATGTTATTAAACTGAAACGGAGTTCGTCTTTCATATTTTTTATATCAAGGTTGTTTTGAAAGTTATAAGACATTTTACTGAAATTAAATTGGGTGTTATACATCTCTAATGTCTGCACATGTAGTACCGTATTTTAGAAAATTAATTAGGTCTTTAGATGTATATCTAGTTTCAACAGATATAAATTGCTTTATTAAGAAGAAATGATTTGTAAATCTCTATCAAAGTTTCTGTATATATCTTTCAAGAGGTATTGAGACAGCTCAAGTTTTGGTGAATACTTTATATGCTTGATTAGGAATCTGTAAGAAATCTGTGTTGACATTTCTCACATTCTTTGCATTTTAACTGGTAACCAATTTAATTGTTAACATAGCGATCATAAATTTCTGACTTTTTCTGACTCTGAACAATTAGTCTAAGTCATGTTGATGTTTTATTTTTCGCTAATTTGGGAGTTTGTGGAAAAAGACAAACTTGTCATTTCACCTTTTTAAGTATATTTTGTAACCCTTGTTTGGGAAAAGACGGGCGTCTTATTTAAAAATGTCTTCTATGAACCATATTGTAAACAAATCATTGGCTACAATTGGGTTTACATGGTTTATGAATATGTTTCAGCACAAGTATATCAGAGTGGGAGGAGGTTATCGCCATGGTTACTGGTATGTTAAAACCCTGTTGGAGGAACTTGAATTACAGGTATATAATGGTTAAATGCACCAAGTTTTCATGGACTGTTTATAGACAGACACTACACACAATTCTAAAAGATATTTACAAAATAAAATGCATTGTTGTCGTTGGTAGCTGTCTGTCATATAAGATTTTGTTAATTGTTTTTGTCATAAACCAGGCCAGTGATTATTTAAAGTTTGAATTGGCAACATTGTCATGTCGGGGCCTTTTATAGATGGCTATACGGTATGTGTTTTCTTTATAATTGAGAGCCATGCTGTGACCTATAATTGTTTACAACCACGCCATTCGAACTCTGGTGGATATTTATCTCATTGGCAATCATACCTCATCTCCTTAATGTATATACGGAAAGATAATTAGATACCAGTTCTAGTGATGAATTTGGACTTTTTTAGATATTAACCATTTAGAATTTGAATTATTCATCGACCAAGAGTGACCCATAAAATGCAGGATTGGTATGAGTTTCGTTTTTAGAACAAGTACGAATTTGGGTTGGCTAAAAAAGGATTGAATTGCCCTTAAAAGATTTTACAGGTATTCTACAGGTATAAATGAAAAAAGCAATTTCATTTCGATTAAATTGAAACAGATTGCGATCCTAAAGACACAAATGTAATATACGGTAAACCAGAATAATTGTTGTTTTTGTAATGATGTATCTTAAAATTTATTTAATAAAATTAACAGAGTTTTTCTCGATATTTACAGAGACAACGAGAATTGATTCGTCAACAGAGATTGCAAGCAATAAAAGAAAAAGGTACGTATATCTATTAAAACCCAATAAATTTATAAACCTTTATATGAAATCAGTATCAAAGTAGTATCCAAAATATATACTTCCTGGTTGGGAAATATGTAAGGATACAAAAATATGATAGTAAAGAAACTATTCATAGTCATAAAAAAGATGGAACAGATTTGTTTGCAGAACCTTTTAAATACCAATAAACCATTGATATAATAAATGTTTCCCTTAATAAAAAAAATGTGTTTTTATTAGTTTCTAATATTATTTTGGTTTGTTTTTCAGAGGTGAAAGCTATCAAAACATATATAAGAACTAAGAGTGGTCGTCTCATAGAAAAAATCATATTCTTATCCGAAGAGGATTATGAAGCTTTCAAGGCAGGGAAAAATGTCGCGGACATTTTATCAAAATATTTATCGAAAGACGAGGCCGCCGGTTTGGAATCATGGGACAAGGATGAAGTCAAAGCTATCAAAACGTATGTCAGAACCAAGAGTGGCAGGCTGATAGAAAAAGTTGTCTACGTTTCTAAATCTGACTATGACGCAATCACAAGCGGCCAAGCAGACGCCAAAGATCTATTAAAGAAATATGCTGGCGAAGGTGAAGTTATAGAAGGATGGGACGAAGCCAAGATGAAAACGATTAAAACCTATGTCCGAACAAAAAGTGGACGACTTATTGAGAAAACAATAATGATATCACAAGAAGATTATGACGCAATGATTAGAGATGGAAAGAATCCGAACGATATCCTTAAAAAATATCTGTCACTTGATGATGGCGAACAATTTGAATCGTGGACTAGTGCTGAACCAATGAAAGCCATCAAAACGATGGTTCGAACAAAAAGTGGACGATTAATTGAAAAGACAGTTTATGTCTCTGCAGAGGACTATGATAAATTAGTAGCAGGTGGCGGAGACATGAATGAAATTCTTGGGAAATATATGAACGATGATGATGGTAAGATAGAAGGATGGGAAAAAGCTCCATCAAATCCCATGAAAGTTGTTAAAACATACATTAGAACCAAAAGTGGTAGACTAATTGAAAAACAAATTCTGCTAACTGAAGAGGAATTTAGAAAATTTCAAGAATCTGGAGGTGATCCAAATTTCCTCAAACAGTTTATAAAGTTAGAAGCGGGTGAAGTGATTGACAGCTGGGAGAAAGCATCAACAGTATACTCTGCCGGGTCAGATGTTAGAAATGGTAATTATTTTTTCACTTATAATGTTCCATTTATTCATAGAAGTCTATTTTGTGTAGAATTTATTAAATCTTTTGAATTAAGCTGACTTGAACTATTTGATACATATTCAGATAGGAAATGTTCTCTATGCTGGTTGATTGATTTAAACGGTTAAAAAATAATAAAAAAATGTCATAAAAACTGTAAAGCTATTTCTGACAAGAATTTCATCTTAGATAGTTATCATCTCAGATACATGTAAAATATGAAACAAGCAGAAACCTCCAGGAAAGTGACATATAATGGATGGACGTGGGACCACCTATCCTGCTACGCATACATGCACACCATTATACAATCAGTAGTTCACGGTCGTCAGTATAAAATTAGAATCTTCAAGTTCTTATCTGAACATCTGTGAAGCCATTTATCTAAATATAATAATGTTATTATAATTTAATATTTAAAGCTAAGGAAGGACAACGTATTGTCGGAAAAGATGGCGAAATCTATGAGGTTGTGGTAGATCCTATTACCGGAAAGAAATACAAAAAGTAAGTAGAACATTCCTTTGATTAAGATATGCTTTAAACAGTGTCGCATGTGAACGTTTCTTTCTAAGCCCTGTGGAATATGTACCTTAAAAAATAGCTGGTATGTGTGCTCTTTTAACTTAAAACAGGCATTGTTAAAGAAAATTTCAAGATAACGTCTTGGGGTGATAGTTGTTGTCCTACATGAACAGTGGCTCGTTTATTGAAATTAACAGCATATGTTTTCATTGTTCAGACTTTAAACTATAATATTGTATTAACTTCACATGATTACAAACTAGTCTCCCTTCTTCTCTACAAAGAGGACTCAATTGTTTTATCCATAGTTTGTACTGTATCTGACGAATCTGGTCGAGTTTCAATATGTAAGACACATTATAATTTGAATCCATTTTTGTTGATTCTTATCACATGGTAAAAGAAGATAAAAAAATAATGATGGGCACAACTAGGACATCTATTTTGTAGACGGTTATTAGACATGCAGTATTTGTAGTTTTCACTGATTTAAGGATAAACTACAACGAAACCAAATTGTGCATTTACTCATTTTAAAAATGTTTTTTTTTCATTTAAGGCGAGTTGGAGGAAAAGAATCTGATATAGATAGTGGGTTTGCGTCGATGCAAAAAGGGAAGAAAGGAAAAGGCGGAAAGGAAGAAACAGCAGAGGAAAGAAAAAAACGAAAACAAGGTGGTCGAGATGCTGGTAGTGACAGTGACTACAGTTATAGAAGTGTTGTTAGTGCTGGAGGTACTCGACATGTTCGACGCCGACGTAAGCATGCCGATGGCACTTACAGTGATAGCGAATCGTACCATAGTGACGCGGACCCAGAAGGAGCAGCCAGACGTAGGCGCAGAAGGCGTGAAAGAGAACATCAAAACAGTGCGCATAGTTATTATAGTGTGACAAGTGAAGGTGGCACGAGAACTGTTCGAAGAAAAAAGAAAAATGCTGACGGAACATATGGAGACTCGGAATCGTACCACAGCGAGGACAGTCATAAAGAAGGAGGCGGTCTAGCAGAACGAAAAAAGAAACAAAAAGAAAAGACCGAGAGGGAAGAGGCCGAAAAACGAAGAAAAGCTAGAAAGGAGAGGCATGGTAGTGGAAGTGATCATAGTTACTTTAGTGAAACTAGCGAAGGTGGCACACGCACTCTTAAAAGAAAGAAGAAAATCAGAGATGAACATGGCAATGTAATTGGTTATGGCGATGTTGAAGCATATCATTCTGGTTAGTGTGAAACAAAAAGTTTTAATATTAAGAAAGCGATATTTTTTTGTTGCGTCCATAATAGCGTTATGTTGTTGATGATGAGTAAAATTGCCTGTTAATTATGAAGATGATGATGAATTGACCATGATATTTTCATAAATTAAATAGCTTTGGTAAAAGGGGTAATTAACAAAAAATACCACTTAATATATATCTAGAGGTTGTTTTGGTTTTATTTTTTTTGTTGTTGGATTGCTGTAGCATTTATGTATCCATTAAATCAAAATAATTATTTAAATACTATGGGGAATATCACATGATTAAAGAAAGAAAAAAAGAACATTAGTGAACTTGTCTTGGATTTGAACATGCTATCAGTTGCCACAAAAACACAATGACATTGAAATTATTCAACGATTAAATGAATTTTCGGTAAGAAATAACAATAAAGCATACTTACCATAAGATCATTTTGTAATATAAGTGCTTGTAGATTTTTTTTCATAAAATTTCAAATGATTTTCTTTTTCTTTACAGATAATGAAAGGTAAGAATATAATTTATTCGGCAATAAATAAGTGATTTATGTATTTACTAAACAATATTTTTAACAAGAAGAAAATTATGTGGAAACATATCATGTGAACAACCTGTGGAAATTTTAATTTGCTTTGAAAAAACCCACTATGGGTTTTAAATTTTTGTCATCATATCAATAAAATCATCTAAAAATTATTAAATACATCAGGCGAGAGAGTGCACTTTTTCTTAAATTTTCTTAAATTGTTTAAATTGCTTCTAAATGGAAGCACAATTCATCATGTTCTCTAATGTACAATTTGTATGCATTGAATATTTTGAAGTCAATATTTCCTTTTAATTATATTTCAAGAGTCAATGAACTTGCCACACTGTCAATCTTGTATTAATGACCAATACAAATAGAGGTTGTTACAAAAACCATTTCTGCTATTGTGTATTATTTTACAATTGAATCTGAATAACATTTCTTTTATACGTGTTATGGACCATTCTTGTTCATGGTACAATTCAATATGACAACAGTGACCAGAAAGGAATACTAAAACCAAACAAGAACATTTTTTAAGAAACATAAAGTATAAAAGACACTAAAATACATAATAAGTTCGTTATTAAATTTGTTGATATGCTTCCGAAAATTTGAACTTATCTTGAACGGTACTCACACAACATAGATACTTAAAACTAAAACATTTTAACTAATCGAACTTGAAAAATCAGGATTAAAAAGGCGTATAAATATACTAATATCTGTTCAAATATTAATGTCAGACATTTAACTTTAATTACGATTAAGATTCCAAAGTAGTATAAACCAATGAAAGACTATAAATCATTGCATGTTAACATAATTAACTGATGTAGAACAATTAAATGATATACTATCATTCAATAAAACACAAACAGTAACGATTTCACATATTCAAATTAAGTGTATACACTGAAGTATCGGATGGAAAAGGCGGTAAAATTAAGGTAAAGAAAGAAAACCCAAAGAAGGCTGGTGCCAAGGGCGGCAAAGATATCCCTGGGCTTAAAAAGAAGAAACAAAAAGATCCCAATGCAGTGTTTAGTGATAGTGATTGTACAACAGATTCGGATGATGTTGATCTTGAAAACATGACTGAGGAAGAAAAGAAAGCATATTTTAAAGGCAAAGCAGAGCGTGCAGCAGCACGTGAAGCACGACGTAGGGAAAAATACGGGGATAAATACGATGAAATGATGTCAAAACATAACGAGTATGAGTATATTTTGGGAATTGGATGTGTATTTTGTATCACTAACATTTTCAACTATATATAGGTGCCATCGCATGCATTAACCATTTAAGCGCAAACTTAATGTATACCAATGGAAGTGGAAGCTTAATATAATACATTGCTTTTTATAACATTCCTCAAAGTTTTGATTTTTTCAGTATTAGTATTATCATACTTAGCTTGATTTTTGAAGGTAGAATATACTCCAAATCCCTTGAAAATGACATTAAGTTATAGTTATCTTTAACAAGCTTTATTCCGGAAACCATAAGATCTGTTTGTTGTGTAATGGATTGAATCCTTGTTAATTATACTAGGTCGCACTAATTGAAATGGTTGCTGTTTTGGCACTGATTTCAGATAAAACAGGTTTTTATTTATGTGGCGGTATATGCCGTGCATTTTCCTAAATTGGTCCCCGATATGACAGTCGACAACTTTGCTTGAATTCCTAAGCGAGGTTTTGATACGGATACACACCTTATCGTTACTTGTCACCAATAGATGGCATCACAGACATTTCCACAAAACTTTTACACCCGTAGGTAGATGTAAGAGCGTAAAACAGGTGATTTGTTGTAAGCTATCAGTTGGCCAAGTTGTTGTAGACTGTCAAATAGCGATATGGTCTACATTATATTTATCTTTGTAGACATTGCATTTAAATTTTTGACTTCTTTGGGTGGACTTGAATTTCAAAATTTCATTTTGTAGAACTGTCATAGGATAACTTAAAACGGACCTTGCATGTACCACGGACTGAAATTAATATATACATTTTTGAATATCTGCACCATTACATGTAACAAACTTGTTGAAAATTTTATATGGAGCAAATTGTATTTTGATGTACTTTATTTTCATTTAATATATTTTGTTTGTGCGTATATATAACTAATTTATCTCTTTTTCAAGAATGTCTAATATGGCACGGGTATTAAAGTACTACATTTAGTAAAAGGTGGTGTCTTTCTTAACCTAATCGTTTATTTTGTGATGTGTTTATTTTGATTTTGATTCAGATTGTTAACATCTAATAGTTTAAGATGTACATATTGTCACATTTGTTGAATTTTCACAGTTTTCCATATTTTAAAACAATATGTATAGTTGAATTTATCTTAAATTCATTAGGAAATTCTACAATGTATAATATTAGAAACGTACGCTAGTATTCTATTCTGTTTTATAACTTTACCAATTGAAATTTTATGATACCCTTGTTCATTACACATGTTATTTGACTGACCTGCTGATTTAAACTTTAAAGGATGCAATAATATAGATGAGAAAGCTGCATATTAACAAATAGAAATCAAATTCGATGGATGTTCCTTTTTAGATTTAAAGAACAAAAGGCCGAAGAAAAGAAAAAGGAACAGATAAAAAAAGAAAAAGAAGCGAAGAAGAAAGCGAAGGAAGAATTTAAAAAGAACAAACTACAAGAACTACGAGAAAAGGGATTGATTAGTCCGTCATCTGATTGGACAATTGATTCTGACACTGGCGAACCATTGAGGAAAGCTCAAAAGTAGGAAATGGCAGAACATGAAATTTTTATTTATAGAATAATTTTGATACTTTTTATGCTAACAAAAATGTAACATTGTTTTGCTATCAAATTTGAAAAACATCTTGTGTTCTTTTATAAGATGGAGGATAAAAAGTAGTGTTGACATTATAAAATATGAATACAATTAGCACAACTAAAGTATATGTTACCCTTCCATATATTTGCAAATAAAAATCTTACAAATATTTTGAGTAAGTTATACATTGTAGACGTTTTTGTAGTCTTTAAATAAATAGTCATTCAATACAAAATTTGGTCATGGTTAAAGAATTTTGGATGATAAAAGTTGGAATTGTAGCATAAAAAGAACCCGATATTGTACCAACACATTTTCTCGAATTCAAATTATTTGGTTCGATTGAATTTCACACCATTAAAAACTACATTCAATGTTTTATCTAACCTTCGCCATATTTTATTTCCTGCTATTTATTACGAACTGAAATAGTCGTGTTGTAGACTCTTCATTATAATTTAACGACATATAAATTATTTTCCATAGAGCTGAAGTGAAAGAGAAGAAAAAGCAAAAGAAATTACAAGAGCTTCGAGACCAGGGGTTGATTAGTCCTTCCTCAGACTGGACCCTAGATTCAGACGGGGAACCAGCTCGACGTTCTGAGCTTGTTAAGTAAGTTTTACTTTTGATCTAGATTTGAAAAAAACAGTGCGTTATCTTAGAAAAATATTGAAAAATTAATTTTTTTTTAAAATTTATAATGATGATCCACATGTTAAATATTCCTTGTTCATTTTACTTTATATTTTGTTTGTTATACCGTACAAGGATAGTTATTACAATCTAGAAATTAAAAATAAAATGCTCTAAAATATGTGTTTATACCGGGACGAAATCTTAAATTTTAAGATATAGACGTTTAATAACGGTGATTAGCCAGAAACATATTTTAAAATATGGCAAGTTAAACCAAAACAAAAATCAAGTTTATTTACTCCGCGTATTTGTTTCCAATTATATGCAGGCAACGTATCACTAGCTTAAAATCGCTAAAACTAGATAAAGGTGACTTATAGATACTAATTTCTCAATGGAAAAATTCGTTATATCTCAAATTTAAGGAAGAAGAAAGATAACTCTAATTCATCTTAAGATTAAGTTATATAGCCTTACGTCATTTTTAGGTCTGGTATATACTTATCTGTTTTCTTGTATAATGTAATATTATATTAATAATATAGCTACAAAACTTCGCGAGTTTATTTACTTGGGAATAGGCACGTGAATATGTGACCTCATAATATGGACATCGGTGATCAGGACTCGAATTACAGAATATTCGTGTAATAAAATTTTGGACTACAGAAAGACTACCATTTGTAAGAATCTCCTCTATTATGTCAATTAATGGAATAAAAAGAAAGTTAAGCAATTTATCTTCTTTTACTTTTTTCGAATCTAGGCAAGGAAAACGACCACCGGGAGAAGATGGGAAAGGAGGGAAAGGTGGAAAAGGTGGAAAGAAAAATAAAGATGGCAACGAAGCAGACGATGAAAGTGAAGAAGGTCAGTTCAAGTTTATTGCAAATTTTGTGTTTTAAACTCTTTTTAGCATACAAGACTGTTTGTTGTAGCTAGCTGTAAGGCTTTGCTTAATAATAAAGTTGTTGAAGTTTTTACTAGCTTCTTATTTACTTGTTAGGGATTTTCAATTAATCTAAAGGAATATATCATTTACATAACGTTTCCTTTTGTCAAGCATTTCGATCGAGTCCTCAATCTTTCCATAATTTTTGGTAAATTGCTACAAATAAAATCTGCCTCTCTGCTTGGCTCATTGTTAACCTTCAAATTTCCTGCATATGATGAAATGATTAACTCTGAAGTTATCTATACATTTCTATTTCGAGTTTTCCAATAGTGTAAACGTGCATTCACTTGATGAAGGATTCAATTAATGAAATAGTATATGTGAATGCAAGAATTATTTCTAATTCACTGATACAGAGAATGTGGCAAGCATACTACCTCTCTTTATATATCTAAATTACTTTAATGCGTACATCCATTCAATTCTAATTATATATTGTATCCATGCAAAACAGGAAGAAATATAAACGGGAACATAATGCAAATAATAAATAAGATGTTGTTTATAAACGTTAACCTTATATTTTTGTTCATAATAGGAATTTCACTAACTATTATAACAGCTTTATTGTTAATATACAGAGACAGCTTGGTGATTGCATACTGCTTGGATAATTTCTTTACTGAACATTTTCGAACTAAGTTTATAGATTTACAGATTAATATTTGAGCAGCTGAGTCGTAGAAAGCCTATCAGTTTTCTGAAGTCAATGGTTCAAGAAATGGGCAGAAAACACAGATCACGATATAGATGTACATATTAACAATACCAATGCTAGAAACTAAAGCGTCGACTTGATAAACTCAAAACTAAATTTCTGATCTCTTTGATTAGACTGAAACTGTAAATTCTGAATTATTTGAACTCTCTCTATTCATCGTTAAGTGGAACCAGATGTTCTTGATGGGTAAGGATATCTTGATCCCTCTACGCTACCATCACTCATTCCAATAAAAAAAATAAAGCCAAGAAAATAAAATCATACTTCTCTTTTTTGATTAATGACAATATTTTCACAAAGGAAACAACTTACTTTTTTCTAATTCGAGTATAAACATCACGACTTGTTCCAATACATCGACCACATTGTGAAATATAATCTAAAATAAATGTATTCACTCGTATACAAGTTAAAATGTCGTTAAGAGAAGTGCGTTAACATCGTTTATGAATGTATAGATACAAGTAGCTTTTAACCGCCGTATTCGTGGAATTTTTTAATCGTGTTTATTAGCTACAAGGTTAGCCCTGGGACCAAAAATATGAATAAGGTAAACATTCAATCTTATCATTTTTTAGTTTGATCCATAATAAAACTAAACCTTCTGATATGTTTGATTACTAATATTATAACCTACTTCCTGAATTGTGTTGTTGTTATAACAGTCTTTTTGACTACTTCAAATTGAGTAATGTTTTTTTTTAAGTTTGAGAAAACATGAAATACAGGGAATTTACGATGCATGTCGATTTTGTTACACCTCAATTTGCAATTATGTGATACCCCTCTTAGGACAGGATCGAAACTGGTATCGACGTTTCATTGTAATAATTACAAAAACGGAATCTAAAATAAATTATTCATGCTCATTTGTTTTAATCACAAGAGCTTGACTTTAATATGAAAATATAAAATACTACATTTTTGGAATTCAGATATATAAAAATTAAACACAAAACACAAAACTGTGCCTAACAACAGGCGGGCCACGAAAGATGAAATAGAGAATACATCATCTTTTCAAAACTACTTTTCTTTTCAATTTAATCTTGCATGTTTTATCCTCTAAAGTTAAGGTTTTGTTCACATTGTAGTGGATTTTATGCACTGTTGCAACATCAACCTGAGTGTATATTTGGTAAAAAAATCATAATATTGAAATAAATGGGTTTATCTTCTAGATATGCAATTTATTAAATGTATGTTTTATTTCTTTTCTTAGAAATCATTTTAAACTATATTTAATAGTATATTGTTATATTAAACACTGTTCAAATAATGAAATAATTATAAAAGTACCATTTTGAAATGATTATGTTCGTATTTATTAAAATAGAATGAAGAGTTTTGAATATCGATAAACTTCTCGTTCCATTTATTTAATGTAATAAAAATATTTTACCTTAAAACTTGGACGTCTTTACGCAAATTATATGCAGTAAACCTTTTTGATTCTGAATCGATATCATTGTTATTTTTTCAGAATATATTGATCCTGTAACGGGTGAAGTCAAAAAGAGACCTAAGCAAAAAGATGGCAAAGAAGAACCAAAATACAAATATGTAAGTTGTAAAACTAGGCAAGAAAACACTGTTTAATTACACCTATATGTAATACTCAAGTGTAGCATGGTTATATTGATAATGGAATAGTTAGTATAGAAGGGTTAAGATTAATTTTAATAACATAGAAATATATGGATATGTTCATTCGATCAACATAAGTATACGAATGCTTTAATTCATTCTACTCAAACCACAAATACCCTAAACGTCTGTGCTCATTTTCATTGAAGAAATAAATAGAAATAAACTTCAAGACAATATTGTCGATACTTATAAATGCTATTATTGTGTGTTGTAGGAATATGATGACCAAGGGAGAGTTATACGAAAAACAAGGATAAATGCTAAGGTATGCCAGATTACAAAAAAAAACCACAAATTACATGATGTACTGTAGGATTTGATGCAATATTAATTTCTAAAAAAGAATGGTTTGTTGTTTTCAGTTAATCAATGTTACCATAAACTCATCGTAGATATTAGTATTAAAATGTGTACGCCAGACGCGCTTTTGGTCTACAAAAGACTCGTCAGTGATGCTCGAATCATAAAAATTAAAAAGGCCAAATAAAGTACGAAGTTGAAGAGCATTGAAGACCCAAAATTCCAAAAGGTTTTGCCAAATACAGCTAAGGTAATTCTGTGGTAGAAAATCCTTAGTATTACGAAAAACCATGATTTACTAAGTTATTCTAATTTTAATAAGATTCAATAAGAGGCGATAGTAGTTAATCGATTAATTCTTTCACATTTTTGAAAATCACAAAAACCGGTTTAAGGCTTTTTCAACTGTTTCAAATGTTTGAATTATTTTTAACCCTATTAAATGTTACACCAAAATATAAGTCATATGCACTAAATGTAGTATTTCAACATTTTCGTATCAAGTTTTTACGACATCTGACTAATATACATTTTATCTATTTAGTATTGTAACATATAACATTACTATACATTTTATCTATTTAGTATTGTAACATATAATATTACTTATGCATACGATATCAACAGGTGTATGTGAACTCACTGCTTAATAGTTTGAGTTGGTTCAAGTTCTGTGCTTCATCTGTTTTTCATATCATAAAATATGTCAGTAATGACCTTTTGTTTTTCGTTCATTTTTTGTACATAAATTAGGCCGTTAGCTTTCTCGTTTGAATTGTTTTACATTGTCATTTCGGGGCCTTTTATAGCTGACTGTGCGGTATGGGCTTTGCTCATTATTGAAGACCGTACGGTGACCTATAGTTGTTAATTTATGTGTCATTTGGTCTCTTGTGGAGAGTTGTCTCATTGGCAATCATACCACATCTTCTTTTTTATATTTAATGAATGCTTTATTTCTCTATTTCAGCCTGGTGATGAAGGATCTGAGTACGAATATGATTATGGTAGGTATACGTAAAGTGTTTTTAAACATTAACTACAATGTTGTCTACTGTTGTAAACTATTCGCTGGAATTTTTACTTTTAGATAGTACACGATAGTAGTCGTAGTTTTTTATAATGTATGATGTGTCTAAGTGTCATCTATCGAAACATCGACATGAGATGTTAAAATTGTAAGAAGGCAAAGATTTGCAATCAATGGATAAAGAACTCGAACTTGCAGATACACGTTTGCAGTACTTTGTTTCGTGTAGAGAATTTTACCCAAAAAAAAAACTCCAATGAAATTCGAAAAAGGGGAAGCATAAAACCTCACAAAATCAAACGTTCGACTATGTTGACTGACAGAACGAATGTCATATTCCCGACTTAGAACAGGCATTTTTCGAAGAAAATCGTGGGTTAAACGTGGTTTTATATCTAGCTTGACCTCACACTTGTATGACATTTGTTTATAGTTCCGTTATATTGACTTAATTTGTTAACCAAACAGACATAATTGGCCAACGTGACAATAATTGGGATCCAGCAGCCAAAACTGTGTTAACATACATCACAGAAATACAACAGACCTGACTTAAAAATTTAAACAAAACATACAAAAATTTCAACAAAACACTTGAAAATTCAAATAAAACTACAAATATATCTGATTAAGGCGCCAACAAGTTTTTTGTAGTTGATAGTACATACAATATAGTAGAACATTATGACATATACACTTTTCAGAAAAAGTAAATATTAAGTAAAATATAAAACCAAAAGGAGTATAAAAATACAAAGACAAATAAAAGGAAAAGTGTAAAGTAAATAAAATGATACACAACGTCAGAATTATTGTAAATCAATGGTATTGAAGAGCGTGCAATTTTGTCATGGCACTTTCCCAATCGTTCAATACGTATATGGCTATCCACAATAACATCTGTTAAGTAAACTGTGTGTTGGCTTGCATATGTTTACCATACAAAGTTACATCATTATTGTATAACCCAAAACATTGGGCTATATGCATGTACTTAATTCGTAACTAAATACGCAAACACATGAGAAGTAATGGTTTGGAACATAACTGCAAATATATTTCGATAACTCCCCAGTTAAGTTAGATTTTAAATCTGTATGCAATGTTTTAACTACTTTTTTGTTGACCATATTTCTTTTTCGTGGTTACACAACAATGAAATATTTCATATTGTAAAATGGTGTAACTACACAAAATAAAGATCCTTTAACCACCAAATACTCCGAAATAACAGGGAAAACAATATTTTTTTAGGGGGACATACACAAACAAAGTGTTTTATTTTATGTATTTATCCACCCACAGGCAAATATTTTTTAAAGGGTCGTGTTCAATGAAAACTAAATAACAAAATGGAAATTGAATAACAAATACTTTATTTACTAAGAACTTCTTCAACCAGAATGTTTTAATGACATCACAGTCAAATTAAAGCAACAAGTCATACATAGATAACATTTATATTTTCTTGAAGACGTTATTCTATTATCATTTATGTTAATTTACATTTTTTTCGGTCAATTTACAGTTTGAAGACAAATAAGACTAGAAATATATACTTTTCTGTTGCATTTACTAATTATTAGATTGATAATAAAATATATTTTCTAATGTGATATTACTTATAAATATTTGGTTTTATCGCAGATGAGGACGGTAATGTCAAAGTTAAGAAAACAAAAGGGAAGAAAGGGGGTGCAGGTATGTATTACTTTATTATTGTTACTTGACCGGGTTGTTGCTAGGGCTTTGGATGGCACCCAATGTAAGAAATGGCAAAATATTATTAAACACTTTATAGGTAAAACACTTATTTGTTTATTTTAATAGGACATGCCTTTTCAATCATCCCATCAATTAAAAGTTGTTAAAGTATCAGTTAATCATATTTTGACACTTGTAACTAATTCGATATTTTCTCACAGATTTATGAATAATTGATCTATCATACCTTTCGATGCATTTTTTATCTGGCTTGTTGTATAAGCCATAAACAAAATTGTTTTAGTTTATTTTTCTCAAGTGGAATTCAGGTTATGTTTTTTTTTCAATTACAGTTTAGCTAAATGAAAAGTGATATTGAGTATTTGGTGGAATGCATATCTTCGAGACATCGCTTATCGTTTAAATAACAAAATGATCCCCGTGTCCCAATTTAAGAATTAGACTTCTGTTCTGACAAATTACATTCCATAGTTCACGCTTGCTTATAAATAACAACACCATTTATCTGTTACGCCAAAACAAAACATTGACAATCATATGACGCACTTAAAAAATCTAAATTGGTGTAAATAATATATATACCGTAAAATTGGAGGACAATATCTAAAATTGTGAAACATTATTTTTAAATGACCAGATAAAGCATATTTACTTCACCAGTTAAAGTGTATTAGAAGGGTATTTAGTTTCTTGTTTAAATTTTCGACTAGCCCAACTATTTAAGGTTACATACATTATTACAAAATATATATATAAGGAATAAATAGTATCATGACCTAAAAAAACATATATTATACTGCAAAACAATATTTTTTCTAAATTTGAAAAATACAAATTACTGCCAAAATATGTTTGGTAAAGCAACTACGTATTTATCTTTTAGGCGATGAATCCGATGAAGAACAGTTTGAAGTAGGAGCTGATGGTAAAATTAGACTAAAACCAGGAAAGAAGAAAATTGATCTAGATAAACTTACCGATGATGATCTGCGGAGATTGGGAATTGATCCAACCTTATCGAAGGCAGAAATTGCAAGAAGATTAAAGGTAACAAATCACCTAAATTTAGATGTTAATTTTTAGTAGTGAGTAACTCATTGCAAAGTTCAATTTAGAAAACAAGTATACTATAATTTTCAAATAGCAAAAATAAGTCTACCTATTTGAGCAATTGAATTAGCAGAAAAACCCTTTTCAAACATGATTTAATTTATGAAATAGCTTTGTAATGAATAAAACTTTTATTTCACAGGAAAAATTCGGTGATGATATTGATATTACTACAGGAAAGAAGAAAATAGGAACAAAAAATATGGACGATTATGGCAGTGATGCTAATACGGATGATATGGCAAATGACAGTGACTTAGATGTTTCCACATGTATGTTATTACGAATGAAATTTGTTCTCAAAATACAGTAAACGAATATCTAAACATTTGTCTGTTGGAATGTATAAATTCCGGAAATACACAAATATGTAAATTATTTCATGTTTTTATAGTCTTTTTATTAAGATAATGTGTTATTTTTTGTTACTAAATAACAAATATATGTATAAAAATGAACGCGCATGATTCAAGATATTTCAATTTTGTAAACTATATTTTTTTTTAATTTAAGTAATTGGAAACAAGAGAGTAAATGTGAAACTGAAGAGAGGTGGACAAGCCATTATAGATCATATGAAAAAGATTATTACGCAGTCAAGTCTGAGAGAAGAAATAGCCAAAAATTTAGATGAAAGAGGTAAGCAAAGTAATTGTTTCATCCCGAATCTTAAATTCTTTAAGTCGACTGTCTTACAGTTTAAAAAAGATTTTTGGGTAAAACACTACACATTATAATTTCCAATGCAACACAATAAACTAAGAAGAATCGTATTCCCGTATCTAAATAAAATTGCAAAATTATTTATCACAGCCACCATTAACGAAATGAAACACTGCTGAAAAATTTGTTTTAAACTTGTCGACATATACTTTTGTTTGCAGCACTAGTATTCAGAATGACAGTATTGATATTATTATTGTAGGTGATATAGACTTTGTAACACATTATCGACTAGTTGACCCCAATAAAGTGGAATCTTATGCAAAAGCATTTGTCGTAGAGGATGATGACATGGATACGGTTTTATCATTCAAGGTACTTAATGATTCATAGCTACTATCATTATCGTTGCTTATTAAATGGTCCAGAACAACATATATTACGAGCTACTTATATCATGATATAAAGTTGCTTAAAAAATTATTCAAAACAACTTATAGTACGAGCTTCTAATATCATTATATAAAGTTGCTTATAAAATTATATACGACACCTTATAATATGAGCTAATTATATAATGATATAGAATTACTTATATTAATATTTAGAGCTTTTTATATCATAATATAAAGTAACACATAAAATGATTCAAATATTTTCGTTACATGATTCTGAGCAACTTATATTATAATCCAGAGCAATTATATTATGAATCGGAACTTATATCAAGATAAAGATCTACTTATTACATGATTAAGTAGATAAAAGAAGATGTGGTATGAGTGTCATTAAGACAACTCTTCATCCAAATCACAATTTGTAAAAGTAAACCATTATAGGTCAAAGTACGGCCTCCAACACGGAGCCTTGGCTCACACCGAACAGCAAGCTATAAAGCGCCCCAAAAAATGACTAGTGTATAACCATTCAAACAGGAAAACCAACGGTCTAATCTAATAAAAAACGAGAAACACTTATGAACCACATCAACAAACGACAACCACTGAACATTAGGTTCTTGACTACTTGTATCATCGTTCAGATCAACTATCAGATACATGATATAGATCTACTTATATCATGAAAAAGAGAGGCAAAAAATACCAAAGGGACATTAAAATGAAGTAGAAACATAGTTCCTCATGTATTCAGATATTCATACCTCCTTGTATGTGAGCGTTCGTGATGAAGACACACATAGAAAAGCGTTTCGGACGCTTCAAATGTATAAAGTGCTATTTTCATATTTTAAAATTACTTTTGAATTATTTAGAACTGTTTATTACATCACAATCCATAATTTAATTTATAAAAGGATTCAGAGTTACTTATAACATGAGTCATATAATTCATTCAGAGTAACTTGTACTATGATTATGGACAATTTTTAAACATAAAGATTCAAAGCTATATCTGCATTTATGCTTCCAGAAGCAAATAGATAATATCAAGCATATCAATGACATTAACTTGCATTGTAATGCAACAGATGCAACAAAAATTATACATATAAATTAAAGAAATAAAATTGAGAATGGAAATTGGGAATGTGTCAAAGAGACAACAACCCGACCAAAGAGCAAAAAACAGCTGAAGGCCACAAATAGGTCTTCAACACAGCGAGAAAATCCCGCACCCGGAGGCGGGCTTCAGCTGGACCCTAAACAAAAATGTTTATTAGTTCAATGAAAATGGACGTCACATCAAACTTCAAAACATATAAATGAACTAAAGAGTTGTCTCATTGGCAATCATACCACATCTTCTTTTTTTATATAAAATTTAAAAAACATACAAGATTAACAACGGCCTGAGGCTCCTGACTTGGGACAGGCGCATAAATGCGGCAGGGTTAAACATGTTTTGTGAGATCTCAACCCTCCACTATACCTCTAGCCAATGTAGAATAAACAAACACACAGCCATACGCACAGAAAAAGTCAGTTTAAAAGAAGTCCGAGTCCGATGTCAGAATGGGCAACAAAAGAAACTAAGCATAAAATTAAACATAAATTAACAAAGGACTACTAGCAGTTACTGACATGCCAGCTCCAGACCTCAATTAAACTGATTGAAAGATTATGTCTTCGTCATATGAAAATCAAGCACAATCCCTCCCGTTAGGGGTTTAGTATCATACCATCATAAAATAAATGAGAAGAACATAACCCGTATCATGCCAACAACTGGTTTTAGAATAAAATGTGTTTATTTCCGATGCAAAGACCCTATGAGTGAATCAATATTAATACCAAAAAATGCCATCTTTAATGAACTTACAACAGTATCGTAACTATATCCCTTCTGAATAAGTCTGTTTAAAGGTTTGGTAAGCTTTTGAGGTGAATGTCGACATTTTTGTGCTTTGTATAGAATATTACCATAAAAGATTGGATGTGAAATACCAGAACGTATAAGATGTCTTGAAGCACCAAACATTTTTATACTAAAGACATGCATTACTTACAATTTTTGAAGCTAATGATATGAATTATATGATAAACATTAGATGTTGTAAATCTTATGAATTTAAGGAAACAAACGTAGCATTGGATGGGGTACCTAGTGTACAACAAATGACAAATAAACAGCTGGATTATGTGCTGAGTGTGAGTATCATTAAAAGATATGTACAATCCATCAGGTATTATTTTATTTGGGTAAACACATACAGCTCCAGGACTTGTTTTAGAGCAACATGTAAGGTGGATTCATATTATTTATTGAAGAATGACACGATACGAATACTTATTTGTTTACCCTTCCGGAGTACCTGAGTTCACCCCGGGGTTTTGTGGCGATGTTCGTTTCGCTCAGTCGTTCATTTCTTTGTTTTGTTTTTTTTTATTTGTCCGTCTTTTCTTTTCCGCAATCGCGTTGTATATTTTCTTCGACTTATGAGTTTTGAATGTCTCCTTGGTAACTCCCGCATATTCTTTTTAATTATTTATCAAAATGCCAGTCAATCACAAATTGTTAGAAACAATAAAAATATTGATATTTAGAATAGAATTTATATTTTATACATTGCTTGAAAAACAATTAAACATCATCATTACTCGCATATATATCAATGTTAATAATATACAAATTCAAACTCAATATAAAAATGATAAACTTGAATGTAAATTCATATCAGTATTACATCAATATGACTTTCTTTAAAATATCAGTAAATCAATCAATCAAAATTATTACATTATATATTGCTAGGCACAAATTATCCTAGACGTCATGGGTATAGACCAACCACAAATTTAAGTTTTCAACATAGTACATATTTCGTATAGTTTTCTATGCACAATCTGTAAAAAACCACCAATTAAGTATCCACAAACATACAATCGTTTCTCACAATACACGAAATTTGACAATTACAAAAATATACGAATTAATAGTATTTACGATTTATTTCAGCAAACACATACAATTATGTGAGGTTTTATACCATAATTCGGCTTGGATTTTAATCTACACATCCATTGGTTGTTCCGGAAAATTTATATTTACCCTAAATAATAAACACAGAAAACGTACACAGAAATTTTGGAAATAAAACACTTTATTGTGATCCTGACTCGTAGGATTAAGTTGATTAAATCAATTATGGTAAATAATATAACCTTTTTCCTATTGAAGAGATTTTATGATAAATGAAATTAAGTTTTTACTATTATTTTAATCAATTGAAACTGTACTTAATGTTTGTTTAATACTTTCTGGCAGGTTTTGAATCTAAATGATGCATCAAGGGTAACATTCCGCATGTTTGCAGTAATATCAGCACTTTGTGACAGAGTTACAATGATGGAGTAAGTTCTTTAAACTTCGATGCAAATTTTGTATCACTATAGATAAGACAAATATTAAAAAATTGAAGGATGTTCAATTGTTTTAAATGAATTTTGCTTGAGACTAAGGATGGAACCTATCAGATTGCATAACTTTTGTTTCATAATATTTTAATTGTTATAATGACAATGGAAAAAAACGTGAATATGCTATTCCTAACTGTACTAAAATGAGCAACACGACGGGTGCCACATGTGGAGCAGGATCTGCTAACCCTTCATGAGCACCTGACATCAACCCCTGTTTTTGGTGGGGTTCGTGTTTCTCAGTCTTTAGTTTTCTGTGTTGTGTTTTGTGTACTGTTGTTTGTCTGTTTGTCTTTTTCTTTTCATTTGTATCCATGGAATTGTCAGTTTATATTCGACCTATGAGTTTGAATGTACCTTTGGTATCTTTTGCCTCTCTTTTATATATCAAATATTATTTTTTTAGTTTGTCGCAAAGGTCAGTGTTTCCTAATTTATCATAAATAGACTTTTCATAATGAAAATTTAAAGTTTTACTTTTTTTTTACAGTCCACTCAGCAAACATTTATTGGAAATATGTAATTTACTGGATATAGAAAGGAAAATGGATTTATACAAAGCCATGTTTTACTGCAATGTAGAATCAGAAAGAGATAATAATTTTATTAAAGCGGAATCCTTACGGATAGAACTTATAGCTGGTGGACTGAACTGGAAGCAACAAGAATTCATCATGGAAAGATTGCAGCCTAACAGTTTTTTCGAGGTATGAATTTACAGCGTAAAATCTTTAGATCTTGACAAGCATTTAGTACATGCTGCATAATGTTTCATTTGCAGTTGTTTTCTGTGATGCTGGACATATTTATTCAAATACAAGACCGTAAAAAACATACATGTCCCTCAATAAAAAAGAAATGTACAGAATGTAAAAGATAAGGTTAAGTTATATAAGTTTAAACACCTTACAAATATTTTTATATGCTTATTCAATTTTTTCCCTTTTTTTCTACAATTCTTTTCTCTAGAAAAAAAAATGATATGATATGATTTCCATGCAATCAACACGTTACTGGAATAACTAGCAGGTAGCTTGCGGATCGTGAACAAATTTTTGAAGCAAAAAAATAAAACGTTTGAGAGAAATGTATGATAGATGAAACAAAATAAATACATACTACGAAATAAATATAAAGATTTGGTTCACACGGAAATCTCATTTTCATTCGACCTGACATTTTATTGTCTAATTTACTCAGATTAAATGAAGAATTTGCCATTTTTACTATTGTGCAGATATAAATTTTTCATGCCAAATATTAATATAATTTATTATTTATTATTTATATACATTTTTGTATGTTTTAGGTTTCTTTCTTGGATTATTTGGTATATGTTCCGTTGTTTCTGTCCATGCATGACAATATATGTGATAATCCATTAGACATGTCTGATAACAAGTATGATTCAACGCTTCGAAAACCTTCCGGTGCACTCAGACAACGAGATATTAATCCACTCGGTCAGCCATTAAAGAAGACGTCAACATATATGTTAAAACAAAGGGCCAAAGACCTTGCGGAGGGTAGAATAAGCAAGGATGACCTAAAGAAAGAACAAATAGAACTACTGAACAAATATAACAAGTATGTCTTAGACCTTGGCTTTTCATTTATTAACTATTTTTTCTTCTGAAATGTTGATCAAATATTCAGGGTAAATATCTTGCTTATCCGTGTTTAAACAACTAAATATATTCCGTTTCTGTTCAGTCCAGTATTCTTGTACTTTAATTTACTTATTTGGTGTTCATTAATATCAGTCATTTTCATATAGATACAGATGGTATGACCATATGAAATGTTTAGCTATTATTTTAAACCCTATAACATCAGATAAAACTATTTGTCTTCTCATAAAAACTTCGAAAATACTTTTTATTTAATTTTTTGTCGACAATTTAAGACTGCTTAGCATGCATATATCGAAACTGTGTATTTTATAATTGATTAATTTTTTGATTAGTTCATACTATTATTGCTTTTGAATTTTTACGACTGAACGTTTATTATTTATATATTTTAAGGTTGCCTGACCTCTTAGCAGATACGCCACTTCCAAGAACTGGATCACCTCCTGGACTCAAATAGATTGGACCTCTACACGAATTATCAGAACTGATGCTGCTGAAAAAATAACAAAAGAAAACAAATCAAATTATGAAATCCGAATTGATATACTTGTGAAATAATGTTTTTTTTTTCCACTGTCTGAACTTCTGTACAGTTTGTGTTGAAACAAAAAAACTTATTGATGATTCATGATGTTTTTCAATGAGTGCAAAACATAAATTATTCATTGAATACATTACAGAATTCAGTCACTATTTTTTTTATGTTTGTGATTAAATTAAACAAATATAGTAACCGATGTTTGCCTGTATAGTTTTGGGGGCAAAAGTATATATCATTTTAAATTGATTTTTTTTATAAAATGTGCCAAAGTAGTCGATAACCGTTTAGATGTTTCTTTGTCTTCTGTTTGTTTTTTTTATTGTCAGTAAAATCTAGTAAACTTTAGTATATGTATATAAAAAGACTAAAATCACTACGATTATTCAATTATAAGCAAAGTGCTGTGTGCCAAATGAATAGTATCTTGTAACGTTATAACAAAAATTTTATTTGAATGTTATTGTTTTGATGTTTAAGATCACACTGGTCATCCTTACAAATATGTAGCATCAAGAGGAAGTTACCTCCCTTTAGCATTTCAGAAATGTATTTTACACTTGAAAAAAAGCGTAATTCTCTTTTGCGGTGAAACGTTAGATTTTTTTACAAAAGTAATAATCAATGTGTATGAAAACACTCTTTTTTATTCAAAATCTAGTGGTGTTGTACCTCAGTAACGATAAAACAAGAACGCAAATTCAGTTATTGTAACTTCATTTGGTATGATCAATATACACGTGTAAGTGCTTTGAACACGTTAAACGCTTGAAAACTCAATAATTTAAATAAGAAAAAAGTAAAATCACAAAAATACTGAACTCCGAGGAAAATTCAAAAAGGAAAGTCCCCAATCAAATGGCAAAATCAAAAGTTCAAACACATCAAACGAATGGATAACAACAGGTAAATTAATGCTTACGTCACAACTGCATAATGATTAATCAGACAATTAGATTGTGTTTATCTATTTAAATAAGCTGTTAAATCTGGGACAAATCCTCTGGTTTTACCATATATGAATTACAAATTTAAAAATCAATTAATTTTTTTGTTGAATCACTAAAATTTGTTTAAACAACTGATCATTAGAAATTAGTATAAAATTCCTGTGTGGTATCTTTAACTATTTTATTTTAAATTGAATTTAGAAACTAAGAATTCCCACACAGTTTAAGGTTAAACCGTGAGAATTCCACCTCATCAAAATTTAAAGTGTCAGGATGTTCGTAAAAATGTATTGGCTGTTACATGTAATGTTACCAAAGGCGATACTTGTGTGTATATTTCCTTTCTGTTGTGCCATATTTTATTTGTAGCTATTAGTTTTGTTTTTTAAATAGAACTTTACATACCAAAGTGCATTTTAATGTATATAAAACGTATTAAATTATATGAGTTTTGAAATATCCTTTTAGCTGATGAAACGTAGAATAGTGTGACATCATCTTCTACAGATGACACATGTCTCTTGTAATGATGCGTTCAAATAAAAATCGGCAATAACATTTTCCTTTACTTTTGTGCAAAAAAAGTTTTGTTTTTTATATTTAACATGCATATTAAATCTTTTTAAGGTATAATAAAGTCAGACTTTTTAATAGGAATATCTCCAGTACAGACACTATACATGCGTTTTTCTGTTGAATACCTTATAACCTAGTAAATATCTTAAACACGCGTCTACGTCAGTTTAAAGATTTGTATCATTTTGAATACAGTACAAGAAAACAGGAAGGTAAACAAAGTAACACACACGTTTTAGAAGTTAACAAAGCCCCAACTTATATATTGATGAACGGCTTTGCGTGTTTATATTATTTCATCAAACGATACGATATTTCGATGTGTTTTTCGGTTATTGTGTTTAAGAGAATGAAACTAGTTAGAAGTATAATGATGAAAAATGCATCGGCAATTACTATAAATCTACGCAAGAACAAAAAAATTCTTTTATCATATGCATAGTTACGATTTGATAACCATGACTTTACATATCGGCAATTACTAAGTCTACGCAAGAGCAAAACATTTCTTTTATTATATGCATAGTTAGGATTTGATATGCATGACCTTACATGTTATATTGGTTATGTATATGACTAATCTCTGGTTAACATTTGTACCTATTGAAACATATATTATTGTGTACCATTGGATATTTATGACAAAAGCACTTGTTTTATCTGCACTGAATTCACTTTTTATAATTTTTAATGATCTGTGATATGATTTTGTAAAGAAATATATAGAATTTGCTGCTGCTACGCAATTTTGTATTTTTCGTTTTGAAAAGAGACATAGTTACTTTTATGAATAAAACTCTTTACTGTTGTGAACGTATTGTTTTCTTGTAGAAACGTGTACTGGTTTGACCTCGACCGAGATTGACGAACCGAATATTCTAGGAGGTTTTCCATGAATCCTATTATCTAAATGTTGTTTCGTCAAATCTCCTTAATTACTGGTATTGATTGATACGTTACATTATTGAAACATGAATGGCATCAAAAACATATTCACAATGTAATAGAGTGTATCTCATATTATAAGGCGTAAATAATGAAATAATCATAAGTAATATACATTGACAGCAGCAAAACAGAAGAAAGCTAAGTAAGTACAAATTGGATTCCTAACAATTGCACTTGTTGTTAAATGTCACTCTTGGTTGTTATATTCTCCTGAAGGCTTATCTTGCAACTAAATAAAGAAGAGATCAACAGTCTTTTAACAAAATGTTCACCTTATTTTTTTCAGAAATATTTTCGTATCTTCACTCACTTGCTAAATTTCACTGATTTTCGTCGTTTCTTTTTTTAATTTGTAAACGTCTGTTTACATTCTCTATAATCGTTTAGTCGAAAACGATAGAAAAGTTGCAGTTCTTGCAATTCAGGAAGAAAGTCAGTTGTTTTTTTTTTATTTCCTTTTTTGTATAATCAATACCTCGTTCAATTTTCAACTCTGATCGTTGAAACGTCATAGAAAGATTCACGTATTGAAGGTATACGCCTGTTATTCTGGATTTTCACTTCCCTAATTTTCCCAGACACTTCTAAACTAGTTTTTTTTTGTGTAATTAACTCTTCCTGCAGTTTTCAACCCACATCATTGAAACTTACGAAAGTTTGCACATCTATTGAAGTTATGCACCTCTCCATAAAGGAATTGATTTAAAAGACTTTTTTTCGATCTCGTATTTTCAATTTTTTAAATGTTTGTTATAGGTCATTCTTCATTGTTTACTTCAAAAAAATCTTAAATGTTCGCTGTGGCAGGTCTCCATTGTTTAATGAAAAATTGTGCAACCCCACATATTGAGTTTTGAACCATTTTCATATTGATCAAGATAAACCGATAAACTACTCATATGTAAGTTAATGTCTTCTTAGTTTAACGTATTAACTCGTTAAGCTCCTTTGAATCTGTTTAAATAGTTTGAAATTTTAGTATATGTAAACGATATTTTTATTTCTTTTTCCTTTTTTTCTTTTTTTTTTATCAGAATGCTTTTCAAAGAACCTATAATAAATATATAAGCGTAATTAAAGATCATTTGTCAAACATGGAAGAAAACAGAGGCTAAAGATATCTAAGGGACATTCAAACTCATTAGTCGAAAATAAACTGATAACGCCATGGCTAAAAAAGAAGGCAAACAGACAAACAACAGTAGACAAAATACAACATAGAAAACTTAATACTAAGCAACACGAACCCCACCAAAAACTGGGGGTAATCTCAGGTGCTCCGGAAATATAAGCAGATCTGAAGCGTTTGATATGGAAGGAAATAATCTTCAGTTGCCAGGATTCCAATCGCACGTACAACTGTTCTGTTGTGTTTTTGCTCTCTTCATTTCAAAATCTTTTTTAACATTGCCTTTGTTGTTTGGTGGAATATCGTCATAGCTGTGTTAAAAAAATTGATTAATAACTGCATTTACATTGATGAAAAAGAAACTTCTCCTTTCGGAGTTCATATTAAGGATTTTCCTATAAAGTACGGTAGTTGTCTAAGATTTAAACCATTAATCTATACTAAAACCAAAATATTTTTTGTTGTAAAAGAAAAATATAAGTCAATCCTGTTGAGGTCTATAAATATTAATCAATCTTAATTAATCACCGTACGTAGGTGCATGCAATTTTTAATATATTCAATTATTGGTCAACGAGCATCTACGGTGTCTGCAAATTTTCAGTCATTTGGCTTTTTTCTGTACATATTGTGAAACGCTCAATAACATATCTAAATACGGCTTAATGGAAAAAACACAATTTATAAAATAAATCTCTCATTAACATATTTTTGATTCAGTCATGCTGGATCTATGTGATCACTCCGGATTTTGATATGGTGCTGAATTTTAAGTTGAAGAAATATCATGAAATTAATAATGTGGGTTTTTTTTTACTTGCAGAAACTTTACACACCATTGTAATCATCTACTGCCAACTTCTGGCATGTTATTTGACCTTAAATTAAGAAAATATTGGTCGAACAGCTTCTTTATTTAAGATATACACTTGCATATAGTTCCTTTGTAAATCTAAATTTATTAAATTACTATTTATGAATTAATGTGAAAAAGTAATATATCAAATTTAAACAGTTTATAAAAATTATGAAAGTATTTTTATCAGTAACTTATGCTTCCGTAATTATAGCGTATTGAATAAAATTTGGTACAAGATGTGCATAACTCTAACCTGGGCATCTTTTTGTTTATTCCCCATTATATTGCGATTTAACAGTATAAGGTATTTGTACATGTATTTGAATACAGGGTTTTTTTTCTCAATGAAAAATGAACACCAATTGGAATAAAAATTAGATATTTAATTTTGTTGTTGAAAATTGTTAAGTCAAACTTCAATAAACAGTATACTACACCTTCCTTTGCGAAGATTTCTGTTTCCAATCATGTTAAAATCATTTAGTTGAAAGAAAGAAAAATAAAAAAATCAGTACCTCTTCTAAAAATTGAAATATCAAAAGAATTTTTATCAACCTTGAGAAATTCTCCATCTTTGGGCAATTAAATACAATTTTTTTAGTATACATGATGAAAATAAAATAAACTCATCTTCGATGTCATATTTTTTTTTTTATTAAAAATGAATAAGTGATCCTAAAATGAGTTAAAAAAATTGCATACCAATGTTTAAACATAGAAAGTACATTATTTTTTTTCGGAGAATTATATGAGCTGAAAGGACGATTTAAAAAAAAAAGTAAAACTGGTATTTTTTTAGTGAAATAATTATACAAATGATGACAAGTTCTACATTTCAATCCTTGTGTTGTCTGGTTTTTTTTTCAGTTCCTTGGTTTCTTTTCTGCTAAAAGTGTAAAAACACAAGTTAAAACATTTTTGGCTAAAAGTTGTGATTTTTGTCTCAAAATAGATGATTGCAGAATCTTGCATAATGAAAAGAAATATTTAAATTTGTTAAAAAGTGTCCGATGAACTGTCAGACCTGCCAACTTTCCCGTTTATGGGAGATATCCCCATGAGAGTTGTTGACTTGAACCTTATCAGTCTTGATTATTAATAGACTAAAAACATGTTCCTAAAAAAAAAAGTATTCAGTGGAGAAAAAAAACAACTTTTGAACACATTTATATTCATTCAAAACCATAGATGTTCTAATTAAATATACTAATGACATGTATAGATATGCATTAGGTCCTCTTGTGCATAACATTCCCAATGGAAATTTTTAAAAATTGGAACATATGAACTGTAGCAAAAAAAGCCGAACCACAGCACCGACAATGATTTGATTATGTCTTTCTTTTCATTGTCCACCAGTAAAGGGTTAAAACGCATTTGGTGGTATGACGTCTTTACTTTATTAAGTTCTAGTTTTCTTAAAATTAACATTTTCGAATAAAACAACATCAACTTTTCTTAACATAAGAATATCTTAACAAAAGATTCAAATTTAGTTAATAACTATCAAACGTTTACTTAGTTTTCTTGTATAGAATTTTTTTAAAGGCACGTTTCTTACTCTTCTGGTCAAACGTTAGCAAACCATGATATTTGACATTAGATTTAATTGTGGTTTCGTCATTTGGTGAGTATTTTTACAAGTGACAGTAATGGTCTACGCATATATATTATGATCATACTAAAATCAGTAAGCCACAATAATGGCCCCTTTTTGGTTAGTAAATATAATTCTAACTACGTATACGAGTCATGTGTGATAAACAGAACTTTTGGTAACCATATGTCTGTTAAGAAAAATTTTCAAACAGATTTTCTGGACAATTATATTACAGGAAAATCCATGAATTACTGGTGGGTACTTGTTTAGCAGATGATCTATGCGTTTCCTGTGTCAAAACCTTGTTGTTTGTATTTGCACTGTCTTAAAATTAGTTGAACATTTCGTGAGTGAGATCTTACGGCGTCATCGAGTGAATAATTGTTATGAGCATAACGCACCATATCTTTTTTTATAATCTTAAAGATTTTTTGTAGAATATTTCCGTTCTCATTCTGATGTTCTATTGATACTAGTAGTATTCTTATACCTTAAGCTTAAAAACCTACCCTTTTGCTAGATGTAAAAATGAAAAGGATGATGCAATTTGGTATATAACCAAAGGGACAGCAACAAGAGACAATTAACTTTCGGTTCATTAACCGTTGATGATTGATTAATTGCTGTATAAAAAGTTCTAAATTGATGTTTTGTGGATAAATAAGTCAAGTCCCAATTTTAAATCATATTTAATTAAATTTACGGATGTTCTGTATTATGCTTAATTCATCTTAGCAAAGAAATATTTTGTATACATGTTTTATTTGTCTCTGACCATAGTATTGCTATTTTTATCAAAGAATTAACAAGAAAGGTAAAAATGGCGGAGGTGGAAAGGGACAAAATGGCGGAGGTGGAAAGGGACAAAATGGTGGAGTTGGAAAGGGCAAAAAGGGTTCGAAAGGAAAAGGTAAATTAACGAAGGAAGAAAAACAAAGACTGAAGGCAGGAAAGAGAAATGATGACAGTGACAGTGAATTTAGCTACCGAAGTGTTGTCAGTGCTGGCGGTACACGTCATGTGAGACGTCGACGTAAAAGAGCAGATGGAACATACAGTGATAGTGATTCATATCATAGCAGTCAGGACGAAGATGGTGAAGAACGACGACGACAACGTCGTAAAGAGAGAGGAGAACTTGAGTCAGATACAGTAGATAGTTCTAACCCAAATACAAGCAATGGAAGCAAAGATCATTATCATGATGGTGACAGTGATTATAGTTACGCAAGTGAAGTAAGCGAAGGTGGTACGAGATACGAAGTCAAACGCAAACGTCTTCGAGATGAAGAAGGAAATATTATTGGATATGGTGAAAAAGAAGCTGCTGGTGACAATCTCAGCGATACAGAATCTGTAAAGACAAGAAGAGGTGTGGTATTGTTTATATAAAGATAAATGTTTCATTGTTATAAGATTAAATTTTACTTTGAATTTAAGTTAAACGATGTTTCTATGTTGATTGGTAAATGCTGACATACAGTCTTGTTATCCAAAGCCTTTTAAGACGAAAGACATTCAAAAAACGTTTTTTTCTCTTTTTTTAGCTCACCTGGCCCAAAGGGCCAAGTGAGCTTTTCTCATCACTTGGCGTCCGTCGTCCGTCGTCGTCGTCGTCGTCCACTTTTACAAAACCTCTCCTCTGAAACTACTTGGCCAAATTTAACCAAACTTGGCCACAATCATCATTGGGGTATCTAGTTTAAAAAATGTGTCCGGTGACCCGGCCAACTAACCAAAATGGCCAGTTGACCCCTTAAGGAGTTATTGCTCTTTATAGTCAATTTTTAACCATTTTTCGTAAATTTTTGTAATCTTTTACAAAAATCTTCTCCTCTGAAACTACTGAGACAAATTTAACCAAACTTGTCCACAATCATCATTAGGGTATCTATTTTAAAAAATGTGTCCGATGATCCCGCCCGCGAACTAAGATGGCCGACATGGCTAAAAAATAGTACATAGGGTAAAATGCAGTTTTTGGCTCATATCTCTGAAACCAAAGCATTTAGAGCAAATCTGACGTAGATAAAATTGTTCATTAGGTCAAGATCTATCTGCCCTGAAATTTTCAGACCAATCAGGCAACACGTTGTTGGGTTGCTGCCCCTGAATTGGTAATTTTAAGAAAATTTTGCAGCTTTTGGTTATTATCTTGAATATTATTATAGATAGAGATAAACTGTAAACAGCAATAATGTACAGCAAAGTAAGATCTACAAATAAGTCAACATGACCAAAATTGTCAATTGACCCCTTAAGGAGTTATTGCCCTTTATAGTCAATATTTTACAATTTTCATAAATTTTGTAAATTTTTGTAAATTTTTACAAAATATTTTCCACTGTAACTACTGGGCCAAGTTCATTATAGATAGAGATAATAGTAAGGAGCAAGAATGTTCAGTAAAGTAAGATCTACAAACACATCACCATCACCAAAACACAATTTTGTCATGAATCCATCTGTGTCCTTTGTTTAATATGCACATAGACCAAGGTGAGCGACACAGGCTCTTTAGAGCCTCTAGTTTTGTATATTGACCTAAAATATATATATATCTATTTTTTCCAAGTTGAAATTATACTTATGAGGTTATTCTATTTCAGGATCAATGGATGGAAGGTGAGTCAGTTAAAATTCGGTTAATTAGGCCACTGCTGCCGCCGAGTGGATTTTTTTTTCAAATATATATTTTTTTAAGTATTTCATCTTGAAGTTTTTAACTACATTATGTAATGTTACATTTGTATTTTTTTAAATGGTGCAAAAGTCTGTTTGCAGCCCACCTCAAATCATTATACTTACTTGATTTAACTGAACTTATGAGCTGTTATTGCAAGAGTAAACAACATTATTTTAATTTCTTAATATTCTTAATGCTTCATACAAGCAATTATGTCATATAAAAACTGTGACACCTAAATTTATTTGTGACAGACACATATTTATATTGATACCTTAAATTAGTATTTACCTACCCAATCTTTAATTCGATAAGGTTAAAAGAGACCATGTAATTGGTTGATTGACTGGTGTTTTACGCCACTTTTAGCACTCATGCGCTATTTCGTGGCGGTCAGTTTTTATTGGTGGAGGAAGCCGAGTGCTCGGAGAGAACCACCGACCTTCGGTGGGAAACTAACAATCCTAGTAAATTAAGATTGGAGTCGAACGCACCTACCACGTGCCGGGTTTGAACTTACAATATTAGTGTTGACAATTAGTGATAAAGTAGTTCGACTACTTAGAACACTGACCACCGAGGTCCCAATAGAGACAATGTAAAATATGCAATAAATGATTAACCGAACAAAGCCACTCAGTTCAAAGATACTGCATATAAAATTCAGTGTCATATTTTTTTATTACTACTAAATATTATTCGGTAATTCGATAATTCACGGGATATTATTCAATCAGTAGACAAGTGTGTAGTTTAAATAGCACGTTTTAAGGTCAAGAAAGAGCCAATATACAATGTGAAAGATGTTTATAAGATTTCATATGTAACTCTGACAAGTTAAACTATCAAATCAGATTGATTTGCCTTTGTATTTTTCTGAATAAAAAAAAATAAAATTCCTATAAAAGATGCACATTTATGTAAAATGTTCCCTAAATTAGCGAAAAATTTATTAAAATAGTCCATGATACCATTAGGTATAATGCGTCTATTTTACAAAATAATAAGATCATTTTTTTTATCTTAAGCTTTGTGAAAGATCGGATCAATGTTGAAGATGTGCTTGGTCCACAACTGATTGAACACAACGAAAATAACAGATTGAAAGATGGTGTAGACTGGCCAGGTACAATTGATATATTGCTTAGAATAACAAATCATATTTTCATATATAATTTACTTTGGGGAGGGATTTAGCATTGGCGTTAGGTCTTGGTGTATTTTTTATTTTTTTTTATCTTGAATAAACCAAAATTGTTTATCATAACTTCACATGAGTTTGTTATGAACTTATATATTATATACCAGTAATATAGAGCTATCAAGTACTAGTATGAAATCACTTTTCTGTTTCAGCAATTTTTCAGAAAAAGTAGGCTATTCGTTATAGCTATCATAATATGTGCTGTCTATGACGATATTGGTCACTTGTAGTCTGTTTTATCATTGTAATAAAACCACATGTTAACTAAAGGTTGGGGATTTGAATGATTTTCTGAAATTTCTTGGATGTTTCTTTAGAAAAATCCCTTGATCGTATTCCTTCCGAGTTTAGTGATGCATCTACTGATGACGATGATGTTGATTTATCTAAGATGACAGAAGAAGAAAAAGAAGAATATTTCAAGAACAAGGAGGAGCGTAGAAAGGAACGAGAGGCCAGGAGAAGGGCTAAATACGGGGATAAATATGATGAAATAATGAAGAAAAAACTGGAGTAAGTAATTTGAGTATTGAATGATGTCTTACTTTTATATTATGCTCATCATTTGGGCCACCGAGTAAATGAAATATATTAGGTCAAAAATTGCGTAGTCAAAATTTCCGGAAACTTCGAATATGACTTTATATCATTAATTCACAACCTAATTAAATCTGTTTCCCTCAGTAAGTATATATTTGAAGGGGTTTTGCTATTTATGTCAACTCAATGTTTTTTTAAGGCCCGACAAAATTACAAATCTACAGTACTAGTATAGTACTTTTTTCTTTATTTTTCCATTTTAACTTTACTTATATCATCATAATATGATATTGTTAATGCACCATTCTACCTCTTAGAAAGGTGATGGATAGCTTTACTATCGGTCGTATATTTACAGTTTTACAGATTTTATAAATGTTGCACCTCCCGAATGTGACCTACCGAGTTTGTACTAACATGAGCAACACGACAGGTGCCACATGTGGAGCAGGATCTGCTAACCCTTCCAGATCACCCGAGATCACACCCAGTTTTTGATTGGGTTCGTGTTGCTTAGTCTTTGGTTTTCTATGTTGTGTTTTATGTACAGTTGTTTGTCTTTTGTCTTTTTTAGCCATGACGTTGTCAGTTTATTTTCGACTTTTGAATGTCCCTTTGGTATCTTTTGCCTCTCTTTGTGTATTCAAATGGTTTTGCGCTTTGACCATCGCTAACCTTCTGTTGCCTCTTGTTTAGGTGTTTGTTGTTATTCTGTGGTTTACATGTTGAAATGGAATATTATATTATTTATTAATGTATTTCTCTGTCCCGAATGTTCTTGCATTTATTTGTACTTTATTCCTGTCACGTTATGTAATTTTAGCGGTATTTTTAACATTGCTATATAAGCGGGAGGTTTGGTTAGCCATAAAACCAGGTTCAACCCACCAGTTTTCTTAAAATGTCCTGTACCAAGTCAGGAATATGGCAATTGTTATCACATAGTCCGTTTTTATGTATGTTGGCGTTTGTTTTTGTAGCAGTTCATTGTTTCTGTTGTTCCGTTTTGTTTCCTGTTATAGTTGATGTGTTTCCCTCATTTTTGGTTTGTGACCCGGATTTGTTTCAGTTAAATCGATTTATGACTATTGAACAGCGGTATACTACTATTGCGCTTATTTACATTCTGGAAGTTTTAAAACTATTATATAAATATATACAAAATATGATCGGTTATCATTTTAAGAAAAAAGGAAAGAGAAAAGAAGGAACAAGAACAAGAACAATCAAATGAAGAAAAAGAAAAACGAGACCAAAAAGAAAAGGATGAAAAAACAAGTGGAAGGAAATCATCACTTAGAAAGTTTTCTGATTCTCTTGGTAAAGGAAAGGAACCAGCTAAAAGTATGGTAACATATGAAAAAGGACCCCCTAGAGAAATAGGCGGAAAGGAAACATTTGATAGCAGAGAACACGGTCTTCCACACGACTCGTAAGTCTTATATAGTACTTTTAGATTCCTTTTTTTTACTTTAAACTATGTATGAATTTCGTATATGTGACATTTTGTATTAGAAATGAAATTTGAAAACTGGCGACATTGTGAAAATATTAGATATTTTGAAGCAATCTCCATTAAAGAGAGTGGTGCCACATATCAGTTATTCTACTAAAATTATTTTAATGGATCGTCTCGCTTCATTGTTTTCCACCTTTGTGGAATGCACCTTATTTACATACGCCTTATATCATTTTTAGAAGCTCACTTGTTACCATAGGGTCCATATTCCTTGCTTCCGTCTGATCGATAAATTTGTCAGAAGTCATCTTCTCTTGGGCAACTGAAAAGGAGCAACTTAGGCCACTAGGACCTCTTGATTTAATTCATTCATATGTGTGTTTAGTTAGTAAAGAGATTATTCAGTAATTTGGACTTTTAAATTTGAAAAATATCTAGGCGATCAGTATAGCTATAGTTATTACTTTGCTTGTTGTAGGACCGTATTATTCTAGACATTGTATCATTTTATGGATGCTCCTGATGTAAGATGTATTGCAACGTGTTATATTTAAATCTAGTAGTTTAATTTTGTAGTAAACTGTTCATTTTTTTCCCTTGCAGATGGGGTAAAAAGGATAAGACAGATATGAGCCTCCGAAGAGGTAAGAAATCTATGATTTATTTCCAGTAGTAATTTTAACCCCAGGACTTTCATCGAAAGATTATTCCATAGAAATAGTTTTCACACAATAAAACAAAAAATACATTCTAAGGGAGTTGAAACCTGAGAGAATGACGTGTTTTATTCATTGTTTTAGATCTTGCACTTATAAAGACTTAAAACTATATTCGAGACTAAATGTAACTGTATATGCATTCTGCTTTCTTTCGTTACTAGGTAGCAGTGATTCATCAGACTTTGTTCCCACTAAACTAAGAAGAGAAACTACAATGTTGAAGAAGCTGCCAACTATTCCTCAAGGAAAAGTAGCTGAAGGTAGATATGATAGACTTGAATTTATTTTATTATACTTTCGCCTGAGTTATGTCTGTAAAATTCATTGGTTTTGGTGTGTAAAGATAGAGGGTTCAGTACGGAAATAATTTTCATAAAGGAAGGAACATAGTCAGAGGTTGCATTTATGGATACGTTATATTTGTCTTTTGTTGTTTCTTAGTTTTATTTGCAGATATTGATAGTCTCTGTTAATTAACCACGTTTCTAGACATTAAGCTTGGCATATTTTATAGACACTTATCTGTTGTTGAATACCCTATATTGATATCTAAATGTATTTTGTTTTTATGACGCTGAGTTGATGTCTCATTCACGTACACATAACATCATTTTTTTTTTTCATTCTGTTAATCAAACTGATATATTTAGAGTTGACATTTGTTTGTCTGTCCATTCGTTATTCTATCAATTAATGATGGCGGGAATATATCTGAAAAATGATACATGAAAAGTGTTTAAGGTAGACTCATGGTATACCGCCATCTTGGATTGTACAATCGCAGTACAAAATCGGTCTGGTTATTTGCCCAAATCTGCAAATTTGGAGACAGATTTGCAATTTAATGGGTAGACTGTTTATTTATATTAAGAAAACTTGATAATTTATTGTATTAATCAAAACATTTAAACATATATCAAATTTTGTGTTTTTAGAATCATTTTTTTCAAATAAGCCATTTAAGGGGAGATAACTCCTTTAGTAAAAAAATATATACTGGACTGATAGGGAAATTTTTCATTTTTACTTGTAGTAAGAAAACAAGTTCGGTGACACCATTTTTTCTTTTTATTTTCTTAAAACATATTATAAAACCTATCTTCTCACAATTTATTTCAAAATTCTATCTCATAGAATTTTTTTATGCACACAAATGTGTTTTTTCATGAACAATCTAACCAAATTTAGGCAATTTTCAACAACTCATAGCTTGGAAAATAGCACGGTGACCCATACTTTTTATTATATTTTTGAAAATAGCTTTTTTGTATTTGTAGTTACAAAGAAGAAGAAGGTAACTATTATCCTTATTCATTATTTAGTATTAGAAAAAGAAGCCTTAATTTTTATTTGAGAAAAAACATTTATTCCTCGTCCTTTTTTTTCAAAAATGCATTTTAATAAATCAAATATCTATTATGGTCAAAGAAGAGAAAGTGACGAAAAGGTAACAAGTAATTTAAAGATTATAAAACTCATTTAAAACAATATTGTGAAGCTTGAATTTGGTAATTGGCGACTAGATGACTCTACCTCAGGAATATATTAACTTAGCTGTATTTGACAAAACATTTCGGAATTCAATTAGCTTTTTAATGCTCTTCGACTTCTAACTTTATTTGGGCTTTTCATTTTTTTTTATTCAACCGTCGCTAATGAGTCTTTTGTCTGCCATACAAAAGTATAAGTCTTTGATGAGTTTTTTACCACTAGTTTTTCGTTTTTCACGACAGTAGGTTTTAAATAATCCTTATGGCGTGGGAATGATTTCTGTAAATGATGTTGAAGTCACTTGGTAAAAACAATTATACAGCAGCTAATAATACAATTTACTGAATGTACGCGTACCGGATTTCAGGCTGATGTTTTTAATCACGCATTCATTCTTCACCAATTTAAGATGAATTGTATTCCATAGATTATAGATATATCTTCCAATCAATATCAAAGTCAAATTTTAAAAGTTAAGGTCTAGGTCAAAATAGATATTTGTGGAATATATCAATAAGATTGTAATAGTTCTTTTACTTACAAATTTTTGACTCAAGTACTGCCATTCGACTGAATATTCTATGACAATGACAGTTGTCTCAACTGTCAACAACGGTATAGCATGGCATGTATTTAGCTAATATTTAGTACTCCGTAGTACAATGATTTGCTACATATCATTAGTTACGCAGTGTGATAGTGACCTAATACGACATATATATATGGGGTCAGTAAATTCCATATAGGTCACTAGCACACTGTGTAAAGAATTTACCTTACCGACTATCTTAACATGTGGCATTTAGACTAGTAGCCTATCAAAGTGATCAAGTCTTCAATATAAAGAACATACTTACATTGGGCTATACAATAACAAATGCCAACAATAACAACTTGTTAGCTTTTTATGTGTTTTCTGCATTTACTTCAATCGTTCATCGACAATTTATTCGTCTTTTGTCCGGGAAAACGTTTCAGATTTGTCCTCAACGTTGTGCTGTTTTTATAAAGAGACGTAACATCACTACTTACCGAATATTATAATAAACCAGGCCTAGTAACCCCATATTATATATACACTATCTCCATGCCGTCGCTTTTAACCAATGATATTCCTAGAATGTATAGGAGGTAAGATAAATAAGTTCTGTCCCAGATGTCCTACTGTTGATAATAAACTCTAGCAGTATTTTGTTTTACATAATTGTATAGTGAGTAGCTACAAATTACATGTTACATCCTTTACGTTGGTTCATCTTTGACCCAATTACGACAAAACGATAAGAAATGACAGTTTTTTAAAATATTTTATTCCCGCGATCCAAAATTCTGCATGTGTTCAGTAAACATTTCCTGAATTTAAATCAAAAATGATATTAATTAAAGATTTTTGCACCTGATTATGGCTAAACAACTTTTAAAAGTTCAACCTAATAGACTTATATTTGTAATACACATTCAAACTATGTCATGTGTGTATTTCTGATCCAATGCGTTTTAAAGTTGACCATCTTGATATAACTGCAGGCATTTTACCAAGAAAATTTCATGAATATTAAAGTTTTCCTTTCTGTTGTCAACTGTTTTTAGATATCCTGCTCCGTATTTGTACGTATGGTATTTGAACTAAGATTTTATTGATATCTTATTTATATTTGTAGCCTGGAATGGAAGATAGAGAGTCATCCCAATGTAAGCGTTAATCATAACAATAGCATTGATAAAATAACACAATCAAGTTATACATGTAATTATAATTTTTTTTATTGTATGCCATTTTAGTATTTTTGCTCCATAAAAGAAACTCACTGCAGGAAATTCTTAGTCGTCCCAAAAAACGGGATTTTTTTTTATTTTGTGACTATATGTTTTGATTTCAGGAGGTAATAATTTGCATTCACGGAGATATAACAAAAACTCAGAAAAAATAAAATAAAGTTTAGATATGTGAAAAATTAAAAAGCTAATTTTGGTACAAAATTCCATGAAAATTCGTTTAAGTATACGATATTTTTATATATAACTAAACAGTTGACAAACCTAAAATCTTGTCTACTTCAGATGAGGGTGATGATGACGACGACAGTTTGAAAAGAACAAATAGAGGCGACGAAGGTATATATTTATACATATATATTTATCTTGAAACAAAGTTTCTATGTTTTCCGTATATTCGGAAATACAAAATATTTATGTAATAATTCTATTTGTCTTGTTGAGATTATTTTTTAAAACAAATTTTGGAAAAAAAATTTTCTTTTTAAATTGTAGAAAAATCAAAGTGGGATTCAGTGGTAGAGATGGGAGCGGATGGAAAACTACGGCTTAAGAAAAAGCTGATAGATTTAAAAGACCTGGATGATGAAACATTGCGTAGACTTGGAATTGATCCTACACTTACTGCGAAAGAAATTGCAAAGAAATTAAAAGTAAACTTAGTTTACTTAAATATAATTTCATACGGTTGAACGTAGTGAATAAGAGTGCATTATTTTCTCGTCTTTTTCATGATGAAAAAGTGTCGTATCTATCGTATAGTCAGTTTCCCGCCGAAACGGGGGTTCCTGTCATTTAGCAAGAGTCAAAGCGATCGTTAATAAAATGACTTGGTAAAATTTTATTTGATAAGTCCCCCCTTTTTATTATTAGTAAGACTGATAGGACTGGAGGGTTGTTTTTTTTTTTCTTTTTTTGTATTATTTTGTGTGCAGTTTATATGTGTATATATTTACATAAGTGATTGATCATGTGTAACATATATAACAAACACAGCAGCGGCGTTGTCGTAGAGCTTTGCACTTTAATTTTTTGTATTCTTCATACTTTAACAGTATGGTATTTCCTTTTCACATTTTATAGTATACACCATCATCGGTGGCGTAGTACATGAGACTTATACTTTGGAGTGGAGATCTTTTAATACATAATGAAGGTTGTTACAAGAGAACGAGTTTTTTGCTATCATTAAAGAAGGTATTGTAAACATAACTGTGTTATTAAATGCATACATGATTTGTTGTTTTACAGGCTCTTTTTGGAAATGATATTAGATTCAAAGAGGGTAGCTTCTTCATTGGAACAAAACATGCTGATGACTTTGGAGATATGGATGATGACGAGCTTGCTAAGCAAGAAGATCTAGATATAACCACATGTAAGTTTACTTTATCATAAACCTTCATTTTTCGAATGCATAAATTGGATCTTTTTTTTTTTTGGTTCGATTATCATAAATTTGTATTCAAGATGTCAAAATGATATCAAATGTATCAGAATTTCCAGATTTATCCTAAAGTCAGTTGGTCAAAATACAAATCAAGAAGAGCCAGAAAACACTAAAAAAAAAGTGACGAAAAATATCAAAGAGACATTCAAAGTCGAAAACAAACTAACAACGCCTTGGCAAAAAACGAAAAACGACCAAATAACAATCAACATTATACAAATTATAACACACTACATCATAGAAAACATAAGACTAAGCAACACGAACCCCACCAAAAACCGGAACTGATCTCAGGTGCCTGGAAAGATAATTCATTGAATAAATGTGATTATCTTTATCACATACTTTGTATATGTTTTAACTAGGCAAGCTTTAATTCATAATTTCTTTTGGGTTGCAGTAAATGGTCAAAGAAGAATAAATATACTGATGAAGCGAGGAGGGTCTGCATTACGACGCCATATGCTGAGAATAATAGCCGAATGTCGACTTCATGAAAATGCATATAAATGTGCAAATATTGATGAACAAGGTATCCTTCTTATCAAGAAACTTCTAGAAATCTAGCAAAATTATCTGGCAATGAGTGTATCATATTGTCTATCAGTGTATCTGTTTAATGCAGAATTGCTTTTATCTGAATATTAATCAGATTCAACATCAGAAAATCATCCGGTGATGTTCATATACAATTTAAATCTACACTTTCACTGTAACTAAATTTCATTTTGCTTTGTATGCGCGTTTCGTCCACATCAGGTTCATCAGTGGATCTGGAATCAAAACAATGGGATGGCCAAATCAAATACGAATTAAAAAGCATTTAAAACCAAATATTCCAAAAAATGTGCCAAAACGGTTAAGACAACCTATGCCTGGGATAGAAACACCTAAGTGTTTCGAATAATTCCACGTTTTAAAAGGTAGCGCGATAGAAAATTTTCAAATTATTCAAAACATTGGTCGTTGGTTGCTCTCTGTCATATTTAGTTTTCGTTTATTGCTTTGTCATAGATCGGGGCGTTTGTTCCCTCGTATGCATTGTTTCACATTTGGCTATTTTGTAGGTCCTTTTTGGTCATATAGCTCTTCAACTGTTTCGGTTCTTATACATCCTTGGCTTTCAAATATTTGACATTGAGCTTCCTTATGAAGGTAAATCCTGAAAAAGCGCTTCGGACTCATGAAATTTATGACGTGTTGTTTTCATACTTTCGTCATGTTGGACTTTTATAGCCGACTAGATGGTAAGGATGTCACTCATAGTAAGGCATTACGGTGACCTACAGTTTCTAAAATGCATGCCATTTGAACACTGGTGGATAAACGATCGCATTGGCAATGAAACCACATCCTATTGATATTTTCATATAGGAACTGAAGATATAAACATAGATATTTGATATTTAATCCATATTATTGTTAACAATTGCCAATATCTGTCGTAAGTGTCTGAGGCTAAAATAATCAACTGTTGTACACAACAGCAAAACATGTTGATTGAACAATCGTGTTTATAACAATAATTAAACAACACAAATGGTTCTTCCTTCAGTATACTGGTCATATATTTGACGAAGCCTTAAATGTTACGAACCAATTGAAGTTTTGAAAGACTTGCTATCATTAGCAAATTTGTATGGAAACATGTGAACGCAAGATTTGTATAGCCATACTATTTGCTGGTTATTAAATGAAGATTCACGTCGGGATAAAGTTTAACAATTTATTAACGATACAAAAAGAATATATGATATAATACAATATTGAGTTCGGTGTTTACGCTTAGCGTCCTTTTCCTTAACTGAATATAAATTATTTTTAAAAAGTATATCAAACATAGTAATAAAAAAATACTGTGCACCACTTATTGCAGACATGTTTCTGTATTGTTATGAGTTACAATTTATGACTAAAATTAGCAAAGACTCATCATCGAAACAACATCTGATTCCAAAAATTAATAACACTTTTAGATATTTAGATGATATATTGGCTCTCAATAATGACGACTTCAGTATGTACACTAAAGAGATTTATCCTGCTGAACTGACTTTAAATAAAGCTAATACTAACAATGAACACTGCTCTTTCCTGGATCTTGATATCTTTATCTTTAACGGGAAGCTTAATATTAAAATTTATGATAAAAGAGATGATTTTTCATTTCCTATTGTTAATTATCCATTTTTAGATGGTGACGTTCCCTTATTGCCATCTTATGGTGTTTATATATCTCAACTTGTTCGATTCGCTCGTGTATGTAACAACGTATTTGATTTCAACGAAAGAAATCTCTGTATTACTGAAAAATTATTACACCAGGGTTTTCGATATCACAAACTAGTCAAAATATTTACTAAATTTTATCATCGGTACAAGGACATCATTCGTAAATATAAATCAACATGCAGACATCTTGTACGTTCAGGTATTTCACATCCAATATTTTTTTATAATATTCTTTACAAAGCACAAAAATGTCGGCATTCACCTCAAAAGCTAACCAAACCTTTAAACAGACTTATTCGGAAAGGATATAGTTACGATACTGTTGTCAAGTCATTAAGGATTGCATATTTTGGTATTAATATTGATTCACTCATAGGGTCTTTGCATCGGAAATAAACACATTTATTCTAAAACCAGTTGTTGGCATGATACGGGTTATGTTCTTCTCGTATATTTTATGATGGTATGATACTAAACCCCTAACGGGAGGGATTGTACTTGATTTTCATATGATGAAGACATAATCTTTCTATCAGTTTAATTGAGGTCTGGAGCTGGCATGTCAGTAACTGCTGGTAGTCCTTTGTTCATTTATGTATCATTGTCATTTTGCTAAGTTTCTTTTGTTACCTATTCTGACATCGGACTCGGACTTTTTTTAAACTGAGTTTTACTGTGCGTATTGCTTTGTGTTTCTTTATTCTACATTGGCTAGAGGTATAGGGGGAGGGTTGAGATCTCACAAAACATGTTTAACCCCGCCGCATTTTTGCGCCTGTCCCAAGTCAGGAGCCTCTGGCCTTTGTTAGTCTTGTATGTTTTTTAGTTTTAGTTCATTTATATGTGTTGGAGTTTAGTGTGACGTCCATTTTCACTGAACTAATACACAATTTTATTTAGGGGCCAGCTGAGGACCACCTCCGGGTGCGGGATTTTTGCTGCGTTGAAGACCCATTGGTGGCCTTCGGCTATTGTCTGCTCTTTGGTCGGGTTGTTGTCTCTTTGACATATTCCCATTTCCATTCTCAATTTTATATTACTATGGATTAAGCAATTATTGTCCATTGTTAAGATAAACTCCTAAAAACTGTCTTTGACACGTAGATCTACGAAGTCCATTATCAGATTAGTAGAAACATACATTTTCAACCAAAAGATAATTATAAGGGAAAGTTTGAGATATAGATGGCATTTATAAGATATAATTATTAAAGTCTGAAAGATGGTAGTCCAAATAATTGACATGCTTTTCGTCCGGTCATACTTGATTCGTTGATACTGTTATTATTAGGTGACATATTTGACTGACACGTGGCCTATTCCATTACCACTGCGTGAAATAAAAAAAACCTCTCCATAGGATAATTTTAAACCAGTAGAAAATGCTTTAAGATTTACCTAATTGTCATGTCAGTATGGATACAATCGTCGGATATATGTTACAGATTGAACCTGCAATACCGATACTCGGTTCGGTAATTACCGTAATAGAGTATGTTATATCCTTACTTAAAAGTAGATCCATTCATTTTAGGACCAATAGATTTCCTAGTGCATTACCGTTTTATCTATCCGAAGAAAGTTGACGGATATGCTAAAGCATTTGAATTGCACCTTAGGATCAATAGATTTAGTAGCGCAAGACCGGTTGTGGATCTAAAAAAAGATTGAAGGATATGCTAAAGCTTTTGCTGTGTATTTTAGGATCTATTGATTTCCTAGCGCACTACCGACTTGTTGATCCAAAGAAAGTTGATGGATATGCTAAAGCTTTTGTTGTTGAAGACACTAACTTTGATACATTCATTGATTATAAGGTAATTATCGATATTAAATGATTTTATTACATTCTGAAAACTACTTGCTCTTTCATCAGTATTATTTTATGTGTCAGTTTATATACTTTTTACCATTCCATTGATCGTAATTAAAAGTTTTAAAACTCGAACTATGTTCATACCTTTGTCAGTTGTCTACGGAATGTTACCCTCTAGATGTCTTTTGATTTTATACTCGTTGGACTGCTGTCGCATTGTTGGGCAGTCACACAAAGGTCGAAGTCAGATACATAGATCGTTGGAACCATCAAAACCAAAAGAAAGTTTTAAGAATGGCCAAAAAACATTTTGCCACCTTTAATTGTTCATCGTTTTTCTTGCAAACCTAAAATCTAAATATATATATTTCTCTAATTCTTCGTCAATTTATCCCTTTCTGCACCCATTGTATAAAAAAATTTAATCAACGTGTGGTTCGTTTGATCTCAGTTCTCCATTGGTTAAAATCGGGTTATGACGTCGAATTTACTTGCTTTCCTCTGAATTTCTTATTGTGACGGCATGAAAAAAGGCGACCATACCTGATGACGTCACATAGAAAGAACACATCTTTTTGCAGATCATTCGAAAAGAAGGAATAATTTTGCCTGCGTATTGTTTGAAAATCATTAGAGAAACAGATTCCACCACCAAATCTCGTGTAATACGATATTTATCCACTATCGACAGTTAAATTTTAAATATTTAACTGTCTCGAGTGGATAAATATCTTATCACACTCGATGCAATGGTAGAATCTATATATATACATGCATATAACTTTTTTTTATTTGCTTTGAAGCGATGAATGTAGCTTGAATGATGATTACACTTCTTTTTTATACTTTATCAGTCGTCACATTATAACTGTATACATAATTTTAGAACACAAAATCTGCTCTTGATGGTATTGAATCAATTCAACACATGACACCTAAACAAATGGAATATGTCTTTCGGGTAAGTTGTAAGCATTTTTCTGTAGTGTTCAGTATTTGTTGTTTCCAGTGCACTTTAGGTTTTGTGCTTGTTTTATACATACACTTTTTAAACTTTCAAATTGAATGGGATGTAATGACACATTGCAAAATTATAATTATTTTCAACTAAGCTTAAGCGGGACCAGACCTAGCGGTTATACAAATTTCGAGTACGATTATCGAACTCAGACTCAACATTTAACCAATCAAAATACTGGATTTGGTGTTTAGAGCGAAATTTTATACTGAGTAAAGTTTTATGACCCAGAGCCCAGGTATTTTACACATTATTATATTGTTTAATTATATTACTGACTGTGCAACATTTGTATATAAGTTCAAAATTTGCTTCACGAATATCAATTAAAATTGTCTCTGGTAAAATATTAACTGCATCTTCAAGTTTGTATTGAATATGTCTTTTTGCTTGCGGCAGTTTCATTGAATATTAGCTTAAAGACAAACAAATAATATAAGTTTCATTGCGCATCATCAGTGCCTTAGAAAATGAAAATCACACTTTATAAATGTTATACGTTCCAAGAAAGTGCTTTTCTGGATTAACCTTCATCAGGAACGCTCAAATCCAAATATTTGAAAGCGAGGATGTATAAATGCCTGAATAAACGAGGGGAGGATGACAAAAACGGACCAAAAAGGAGTTACCCTTGAGTCCAAAAGTTGTCTTGTATTTTACAAATTTAAAACTTGATACATTTTAAGTGGAGTATGTTCCATTGTCCAAAATACCAGTGTTTTAGTCTGTTTTTATATTGTTTATGTTTGCAACGTATTTTATATTTAATTTAATAATTGAATTTGTTGAAGAAATAATTATGTTATGTACTCATATCTCTCGTCAGGTTTTGAATATTGATGAAGCCACTCGTGTTACATTTAGAATGTTTGCTGTACTCACAGCTTTATGCGAAAGAGTTTCAACAATGGAGTAAGTTATAGCAATCATTTTCTGTACACATTATCAACACATTTATATTTCAATTAGTTTTCACCATGGTGTTTGCATAGGGGGAATCTTTTAAAAATGCTTAGATATCATTTGATTATTTTGTATGGTGTTTGACTCCGTTGAATTAACAGAAATATATGGATTTAATATGAAATGAAAATAGATTTAAACATAACGTTCGGCCGAAGCGCTTTTCTTTATTTACCATCACAAGAAACGCTTAAACCTAATTTTTCTAAAGCCAGGGATGTAAAAATAAGTAGAAACGTTAGGATGGTTACCATGTTTAAAAATGAAATGTTTTTTTGGGAAAATATTAATGCGGGATTTCCCCCAGTTCCCTCCTTTTCCCGATCTATGTTAATCACATAGCCGATAAGTTGATAAGTGTAGATTTCAAAATCGAGTAGTGGTTGATACAAATTATATCTTTTTAATCAGAAATGTTCATATGAAACACATTAAAAGTTGCTTAATGACAAAAGCAAATACATCAGCTTTCTTACCCAAAAAATATATCAAACATAAGTTATCTTTCAATCTTTTTGTTTGACATTCAAATTGTATTTAATGCAATATAAGGGGGTTTCTTTTTATATTGTGATGTTCATTTTTATAGTCATGTTTTCCAGTTTTAAACTTGGTTTATTTATTTCAGCGATTTAAGCAGACAACTATTAGAAATATGTAACCTTCTAGACATAGAACGGAAATTAGATTTATATAAAGCTATGTTCTACACCAATGTGCCGACGTATCGTGACAGTAATTATGTAACGGAGGAGTCTTTGAAGATTGAGTTGATGGCCGGTGGTCTAAACTGGTCACAACAAGAGTATGTTATGGAGAAAATGGAACCTAATACTTTTGGCGAGGTAATGCTCACATCAATGTGATAACACAGTGCTGCTCTTAATTAGTCATGACAAAACTAGATTTTATATATAATACACCAGTTGAATTGGCTGCAAATACTAGATATTACAGTGAATAAAATATTTTTGGTTTAACACAATGGCGACAACAACAACAACATGATAGTCAATATTGAATACAACATAAAAACAAGAAAAGAAATATGATTCGTAATGTATGAATTCTCAGTCTTTTCAAAAGATGTTTGTTCTAAAAGTATGTGCTAAATAACCAGATTACTTCAATACCAAAGGTGACTTCATATCTTATTAACAGATCAGGTTACGGGAAGTGATTGGAAAAAAAAATGATACTGATACTAAGGGAACATCCATTTGATATTGGAAGGGAGGGTAGGTGGATTTTTTGTGGATTTACTATTCATTTTGATCTGTTGCTACGCATGTTTGTTTTTTCCGAGGTATCAAAATATAAACTTATTATCTCTTGTTTATACAATTATTTCCTGCATTTTGAGTTTCATTTGAGACATATTCAGAATGTCTTGGGCATGGTTATTTTATTTCAGCTCTAATCAGGCCAGGATATTTACTTTCAAAATCCTCCTGCAACCCCGAAAACTAAATGATTGTCCCCTAACGACATGTGTTTCTGGAATGACTTTCATCATCATGAGTATGAGTATAAGTTGTTGGCCAATGAATTGTCAACGTTATCAATACATGTATCCAAAATATTATTTTTCACGTAGTAATTAGGCATCATTATCTATGACAACACACGGTTTATTGGTTTGAAAAAAGGATTGATTGATTGATCGATTGGTGTTTAACACAACTTTCAATACTATTGTGCTATTTCGTGGCGGTCAGTTTTTATTGGTGGAGGAAGCCGGAGTGCCCGGAGAGAAACACCGACCTTCGGTATGAAACTAACAATCCTTATCAATTAAGATTGGAGTCGAGTGCACCTGCCCCGTGCGAGATTCGAACTCACCTCAGTGTTGACTGGCTAGTGATACAGAAGTTCGACTACTTAGACCACTCGGCCACCGAGGCCCCTTGAAAAAAGGAAGCATGATTTTTAATTGCAAAAGCAATCACTGATTCTGATTGACCAATATTTTAAAATCTTCTCTCAAACTACAAGGCAAAATATCCTGAAACTTTATACGATTAATGATTGGGATACAATGTTTAAACAATACTAATTAAATGTTGATCAGATGGCAAACTTGGTGACGTTGGTAGCATAAAGTTCCCTTCAAACCATAGGAGAAATGACATCTTCATCATTTTCTTTGAAATTTAACTAATATTATCCAAACTTGGTAGAAATAATGTATGAAAGGACCCAGGACCTTTTAAGCTGACATCGGTTTCTAATAACCGAAGTGAGGCAGAAGTGGTGTATGGAAAATGCTTTACAACACATTTACTGATCAAAAGACATGGCTATCAGAGACAATATTTGATTCTAATTGGCCAATTTTCATATTAAAATCTTTTTTGCGAGGGGAAATGTGTTAAATTGATAATTGGGAGACCCTCACAAACGATCTTCATTTAATATCGATCAAATGGCAAACTTGATGACATGAACTTCCTTTTAAACACAATGCTAATCACATTTTCATAATTTTCTCTTAAACGTTGTGGCGAATTTTAAATAAAACTCAGAAGGGGTTATATATGGAAGGCCCTTCGAACTATCCTCATTTGCATCTGATCGGACGAAAAACCGGCAAACTTTTATTCTGAATAATCGATTTAAAAAAATCCAATTATCTGGGAGAAAAACATGTCGAAATGTTACTGCTGTTGTGTTTCATATCAACCACAGTACTCCAGTTGAGTCTTAGTTTTAATATATAGTTTAATTTAACGTGTCAAACATCAAGCTGTTTATTACCTTGTTTATATTGTAGATCTCGTTTTTGGACTACATGTGTTATATACCTTTGTTTTTGTCGATGCACGATAATATTTGTGACAATCCTTTGGACATGTCAAATCAGAAATACCAAATGCCTCCTCGTCGGAGACCTCCATCTGTTCAGAGGGACATGAATCCTTTATCACAACCACTAAGCAAACAGTCTGCATTTTTACTCAGGAAACAAGCTGTTGATTTCGAGGAAGGAACGGCTAATCCTGATCATTATACAAAGGAATACGTGCAACGGGTTAATAAATATGCACAGTAAGTAATCAATAAACCTTTGATTATGGATATATAATGAATATACGGAATAGTGTATCTCAATTGGAAAGAATCCAAAGGGACAATACTAGATTTATCACAAATACAGACAAACAAACAAAAACATACAAAGCTTAAAAAAATCGAATAAACCGGGAATTATTTAATGAAGATTTTGCTCTTTTGCGATAACATTTTTAGTCAAGAGCCTATAATTCAATGGTTGTCGCATCTTGGAGTATATATTGTTTTGTACAATATTAAGGTCGTTAGTTTTTTCGTTTGAATTGTTTGACGTTTGTTATATCGGGGCCTTTTATAGCTGGCTATGTGATATGGTTTTTGCTCATTGTTGAAGGCCGTTCGGTGACTCATAGCTGATAACGTCTCGTCATTAGGTCTCTGGTGGATAGTTGTCAATCATACCATACCTCCTTATTTTATATTAAGCTTTATTACTGTTTTATTTCTGCTACAGTAACTATTATTTATTCTTAAATAAGTACAATCAATTGTATATTAGATTTCAATCTTTATTTGATTAGAGTTGGGAAATAATTATATTTTATTTTTCGCTTCTCCTATGTGAAGCGTCGTATTTCATGTCGCAGATTGCGTTTACGTAGCTTCTCAAATTTAGCACATCGATGTGTGCATCGCAAAGTTTTATTCTTCCCTGGGCATGATTTGAACACATGCTTCTGTTCGATAGTGCCACTCGGCCAACTAGGGCAAGTATATTTATGAAAAAAGACATCAACAGTTTACTCTTTCCTCAATTGTACGACAATAGGAAAATTGTGCCAAGGGAATAATCCAAAACCATAAGTCTAGGAGTGACAAACAATTCAAAGACAAACCATATGTGGTATGACAAATAGCAGTTCACACTACAATGAAGACGTAAATTTCACCCAAAGCCAGCGATTTATCTATTTTGTTTTTTTACAGATTACCAGATATACCTCATATTTTGCAACGACAATCGTCAAATGTTTCAACCACGTCAGAGTACTTAAGCGGAAGTTCTTTCTACAGAGAGAAGAGCAGGGTGTACTGAACAATGTACAGAGATTCATTTCTTGAACGTCATGCACTTATGCTGTGTAGAAATAAGTAGTTTTTTTTCAGTATGATTTCTCGATTCGTTTATTTATGTAAATATTCTTAGACGATAGCTGAGAACAAAATGAGTAACATATTACTACTATTAGAAACAAACGAAATGGTGGTTTCTCATACCAACCAGTATTGATTAAATACTTTGTATTTAATCTGTAGTGAGACAATGTTTATGCTCCATGGAATGAATCTTTTGAAATTTAGTAATTAAGTGTGCTAAAAAGAGCAAAGCAATGTGCATTGTATATTGAAACAACCTGTCAAAATAGATATATTTTGTTCAGCACTTTTACTTAAAGTTTCATTCAAGTTCGGCGCTGTAAATACGTTTCCACTTAGTTTTTTTTTTGGCAAAATTTGAGACAGATTAGTATGCCATTCAAATTTAAATATTTAAATAAAGTTATTCCAAAGATGTTTTGTCCTGTATAGCATGAGAAAAAGAACCCTGATAATTTGATAATTGAACTGGGTTTTTTTTAATAACTATCTCACAGAGTGGGGGTAACCGTTATACAAATTGACAACATGCCAAATGGGTCCAAATGTTTTCTTTCATTTAAAAATTAATCAAAGATACTAGGCTTATAATTTGGTACGCCATACGCGCGTTGTATCTACTAAAGAATGTTTTTTTACTTTGAATACGTACTCAATCATGGTTTCAATTCGAAGGCAAATGAAAGATAACATTAGCAACAACTGTTCATATCTTTAGATTGTAGCAATATTACCAGATAACTTACCGTTCAAAATGCCGGTAGTATACGTTATTTATTCCGGAAATCCCCAGATTTGATTCGAAAGTGTCCATAACGATTACCCACCAAGATTATTTTAGAAAAACCAATGCATTTTTCTTAAACATAGGTATATATTGACAATCATGTTATACATTCGTTATTGTTTAAACATTTTCATTAAGAAATTCATTAATTAAATCAATGTTTGGTTCCCGAACTGTCTGTGATGCGGTTTTATTTTGAATTTTGCATTAAAAGTGCTTGGGTGAAGAAAAGTATTGCTTCGCACACTGTATGACGTGACTGTAATTAGATTTGAAATGTATGTGTAAGTTCTTTTCGTAATCATTGTAACATGTTGAGTGATATATCATTCCTGATCTTTTCATAGTAGAACTAAATTAAGATATAATGATTATTATTTACAATTCAGAAGTAACTGTAACTAAATTTGAAATTTATATGTCAATCATTGTAATATGTTGTTTGATATCATTTCTGGTTTATTTTATTGTTGAACTAATTTATGATATTATTATCAAATATATTGTTTTTGCAAAAGGATTTATCAATTACTTCTTGTTGTTGATGAAATGTTGGATGTTGTAAGTTCTTAGAATAAAGGAGTGAAAAAGTAAGTTGATGCTTTATTATTCATGAGAAATGGTTCTTATATCACGAAAATCAGCTAGGTTAGTGTTGCGTTTAAAAAGTTGTCGCTGTACAAAGCAACAATATAAACTGTTCTTGAACATGACATCCAACTAGTACCAAGATCGGAACTGAAAACATAACCTTGGCCGTTGTTGGAAAGTCCATAGAAAATTGTGTTGTCATAATCAAGTCCAAGTAGTACGGACACCAATGGAGATAATAGCTTGAGCCCCAGTCAGATAGCTGTCTTTTCTTGTAACTTTATATGGTTAATCGATGAAAATTGCTTAACTTTTATTGTATTTGAAATTTTACTGTCATTAATGTAAAGGTTTCAAAATGAACAGAATGCAGTAGTTGAATCCGGATTTTTTATTTTGCAATTTTATTGTCAAACGGAGTAAAACTTTACTAATATTTCCGGGGTTTTCAACAAATCAGTATTACTTGTATGATGTCATTAGTCATGGTAATTTACACTATATAAAAGTATAAATAACTATGTTAAAACTAATTTTAAAACACTAATGATCTGAGAAGAAGCGAACAACAAGATAGATTTTTACTCAAAATAAAAAACAATTCGTCTTGAAAAGTAGGCAATAGATAGGAATGATTTTTATTTTTATTTTTTTTTTGGGGGGGAGGGGTGGGGGTTCAAACACAATTTTAATAGCGGAATTGTGAAATGATAATCAATAAGCAGTTACTTTGGTTCAATTTTGTCAAATGAGCTCAAGAACATCGCTGATGTTCAGTTATTAAAAAGAACGAATGTCAAAATTGAAAAGTGAAACAAGGGAAGAACCATACCGTTGACTGATTCTGCATGCACAAAATTAATTTTTATACAGGTAAATCGACGATTTCATATTGTTCTAATCAATGACATGAAATTAAACAGACCTAGAAAAATCGTTATTATACGATCGGCATTCTTCGAAGGTCATCTCAATGGTTAATTAGATGGCTCTAGTGTAAAATACACATGAAATGATGATACATTGCATTGTTAAATGTTTCTTTGAATTTTTTGTAACTTGGATATACGTTTTAGTATATTATAAATCAAATATAAGAATCGGTTAACATGAATTTGACAGCTTATGACCATTGAAATGATTAACATTATTTTCTAAGTAATAATCAGGATATTCAAAATTACCATTTATGGTTTCTTCACAACGATAGAGAGAGTCACACGGTACACAATTATAGGGATTTTGTTGTCCACATTGACAAGCATTTTTGCTACAACAAGCACATGTTTTATCATTGTTATCTCCAGGACAGGAACACTTCATTCCTGTGATTAACTCTGTACTCTTATCTGAAAAATAGTCGAAACTCATCCAAGATACCAGCCTTATAATTTTGTACATTAGACACGCGTTACGTCTACAATAGTATCATCATGTTATGTAAAATCGACGTCTGCCAAAATGGGTCCAAATGTTTTCTTTCATTTAAAAATTAATCAAAGATACCAGGCTTATAATTTGGTACGCCATACGCGCGTTGTATCTACTTAAGACTCATCAGTTGCGCGCGAATCAATTACTCTTTCGCGTGTAAGAAAGGGAAAAAAAAATGCTTTTTTACTTTGAATACGTACTCAATCATGGTTTCATTTCGAAGGCAAATGAAAGATAACATTAGCAACAACTGTTCATATCTTTAGATTGAAGCAATATTACCAGATAACTTACCGTTCAAAATGCCGGTAGTATACGTTATTTATTCCGGAAATCCCCAGATTTGATTCGAAAGTAACCATAACGATTACCCACCAAGATTATGTTAGAAAAACCAATGCATTTTTCTTAAACATAGGTATATATTGACAACCATGTTATACATTCGTTATTGTTTAAACATTTCCTTTAAGAAATTCATTAATTAAATCAATTTTTGGTTCCCGAACTGTCTGTGATTCGGTTTTATTTTGAATTTTGCATTAAAAGTGCTTGGGTGAAGAAGTATTGCTTCGCACACTGTATGACGTGACTGTAATTAGATTTGAAATGTATGTGTAAGTTCTTTTCGTAATCATTGCAACATGTTGAGTGATATATCATTCCTGATCTTTTCATAGTAGAACTAAATTAAGATATAATGATTATTATTTACACTTTAGAAGTAACTGTAACTAAATTTGAAATTTATATGTCAATCATTGTAATATGTTGTTTGATATCATTTCTGGTTTATTTTATTGTTGAACTAATTTATGATATTATTATCAAATATATTGTTTTTGCAAAAGGATTTATCAATTACTTCTTGTTGTTGATGAAATGTTGGATGTTGTAAGTTCTTAGAATAAAGGAGTGAAAAAGTAAGTTGATGCTTTATTATTCATGAGAAATGGTTCTTATATCACGAAAATCAGCTAGGTTAGTGTTGCGTTTAAAAAGTTGTCGCTGTACAAAGCAACAATATAAACTGTTCTTGAACATGACATCCAACTAGTACCAAGATCGGAACTGAAAACATAACCTTGGCCGTTGTTGGAAAGTCCATAGAAAATTGTGTTGTCATAATCAAGTCCAAGTAGTACGGACACCAATGGAGATAGTACTGGAATATATAGTTTAAATATTTAAAAAAATGTATTACTAGTGTATTCAAACTGATGGATTGTACACTTTTAAACTATTATACAGTATTGACATTGAATTCGTCGATTTTTGCAAAAGTGCGAACTACTGTAAGGGTTACCAATTATTTTTTTTTAGTCTTATTATTTTGTATTTTCTGCACTTTATTCCACACCGCGTTTATTTGAGTTTAACCTTAATACCACGCATCAACCCAATAAAAATCTTCAACTGCATCACTGAATATTTAACTTTATAAATAAGGTAATGATCAAATGATGTTAAAGGTATCTCCAAACAAAAACAATTTGCTTTATTCATTGACTTCAGTCTATTTACGCATGTTTATATATAGTAAAAAAGTATTGACAAAAATACCGAACTCAAAGGTAAATTCAAAAAGGGGGAAGTCCATAAAAACGGACAAAATCAAGCGTTAGACTATACCAACCAACGAGACGAATGGTAATATCAAGTAAAAATGGGTGCATATAGATCAATATATTGTTAGATTTTAAATGTAATGACATTTGTCATCCTTGTCAATTTTTCGTGCATGTTGAACCGGATGATTATATATTTTAAATCTAATGGAATTTATCATTAATGCCAATATTTCTACCAGTTATATAAAATACCGGTTTGATTCTACCATATACTATTTGTTCTTAAAATACTACCTTTTTCCTTTCCAGAAAAAAATCTTGCCATACAGGAAGCAAACACTCTTCCTGACCTGAAATGAAAAAAATACGGTTGTTTTCTTTTTATAATACTAAAATGCGCTTTATGGAGCAGGATTAAACTTAAATGAAAACTTCCGGAGCACCTGAGATAAACACGTGTTTTTGATTAGATTCTTAATGCTCAGTCTTTATTTCCCTATGTTGTGTTTTTGTATACTGCTGTTTGTATTTGTGTCGTTATTCGTCATGGCGTTGTCAGTTTGTCATCGACTTATGTGTTTTAATTTGATTTTTTTCAAACTTTTCAACTTCCGTGGTGGTATCGGGCTCGCCTTGCGGTCATGACCCCTGGTAAACCAAAGACTTAATTATTAATAATTATTTAGTGCTCGGAATTTAACTGAATAATGTGACCAGCTAGGATGACATGTCTAAATAAGTTTGTAAGCTTCTCCATCAGAACGACCTTTAGATTGAAAGCAAAGACTGGAATGCTTGGAGTCAAAAAGAATAATGTGTCTGAGTTAAGATGTCATGTCTAAATTAGTTATTTGCTCCTTTACTTACACGTGACATTTTGAAATAAGAGCTAAGGCTGGTCGACTCAGAGTCAGATTGAATAAAGTGTCCGGGTAGGATGACTTTAGTGTAAGTTTAATACTGTTTCAGAAAAAAAAATTATAAGACATTTCTCCCTGCTTACTGTTGCCTTGTGAATTAACACTTGATAAGTTCAGTTCAGCTTGTCGGTCTATTACAGAGCAGGATCGTATTCAAATCCCTTTAACATGTTCTTGTTATGAATAAACATGTTAAAGTTGCCACTAGACGTCAAACAGCAAATTTGCCATTTGACGTTGAACAGCTATATTAACGTGCACAAAAAATCTTAATTTTCAGCTAATTTTATAATTATGTTTCCATGTAAAGAAAAGCCCAATCATCATTTGCCTAATGTAAATCAAAATACAGACACATTGACTTTGTCCTTTAGCATAACGAATGAAGGTTTTTTCAAAACAAAATTTGTTGTCAGTTTATTTCGACCTATGAAATTGAATATCCCTTTAGTATTGTTCGCCTCTCTTCTGTTGTGTTTTTGCTCAAATACATATACCAAATCGTTTTTTGTTTTTCCTTTTTACCTTAGTTTAGTTCTATCATCACAATGATATGTTGTTCCATTGATGTCTTGCAGCGTAGATGATTGATAGTATCCTTAAAGTAGATTATAATCATTAAACGTCTTTATTAAGATACCACGCTAATTATTTATCAATTATAATAGGTCAAGTTGTGGTCCCAGTTTTACATGTAGATAATAGCTTGAGCCCCAGTCAGATAGCTGTCTTTTCTTGTAAATTTATATGGTTAATCGATGAAAATTGCTTAACTTTTATTGTATTTGAAATTTTACTGGCATTTATGTAAAGGTTTCAAAATGAACAGAATGCAGTAGTTGAATCCGGATTTTTTATTTTGCAATTTTATTGCCAAACGGAGTAAAACTTTACTAATATTTTCCGGGGTTTTCAACAAATCAGTATTACTTGTATGATGTCATTAGTCATGGTAATTTACAAACATATAAAAGTATAAATAACTATGTTAAAACTAATTTTAAAACACTAATGATCTGAGAAGAAGCGAACAACAAGATAGATTTTTACTCAAAATAAAAAACAATTCGTCTTGAAAAGTAGGCAATAGATAGGAATGATTATTTTTTATTTTTATTATTTTTTGGGGGGGGGGGGGGGGCGGGGTTCAAACACAATTTTAAAAGCGGAATTGTGAAATGATAATCAATAAGCAGTTACTTTGGTTCAATTTTGTCGAATGAGCTCAAGAACATCGCTGATGTTCAGTTATTAAAAAGAACGAATGTCAAAATTGAAAAGTGAAACAAGGGAAGAACCATACCGTTGACTGATTCTGCATGCACAAAATTATTTTTTATACAGGTAAATCGACGATTTCATATTGTTCTAATCAATGACATGAAATTAAACAGACCTAGAAAAATCGTTATTATACGATCGGCATTCTTCGAAGGTCATCTCAATGGTTAATTAGATGGCTCTAGTGTAAAATACACATGAAATGACGATACATTGCATTGTTAAATGTTTCTTTTGAATTTTTTGTAACTTGGATATACGTTTTAGTATATTATAAATCAAATATAAGAATCGGTTAACATGAATTTGACAGCTTATGACCATTGAAATGATTAACATTATTTTCTAAGTAATAATCAGGATATTCAAAATTACCATTTATGGTTTCTACACAACGATAGAGAGAGTCACACGGTACACAATTATAGGGATTTTGTTGTCCACATTGACAAGCATTTTTGCTACAACAAGCACATGTTTTATCATTGTTATCTCCAGGACAGGAACACTTCATTCCTGTGATTAACTCTGTACTCTTATCTGAAAAATAGTCGAAACTCATCCAAGATACCAGCCTTATAATTTTGTACATCAGACACGCGTTACGTCTACAATAGTATCATCATGTTATGTAAAATATGGCAATAATCTTTTGCAATACAGGTGAATACTTCAATATGATATAGCAAAAGATCATATGATTTGATATAGGCTTTATATATCTTCTTTTTTATATTTATAAAATACAAATGTCTAAGAACTTTAATAATAAGAAATTAAATCAAATAATTTACACTAGCAATACTTCAATTTCCATATGTAAACTTATCTGTCAGCATTAATTCTTTAATATTTTTCATCTGTTTGTTTGACACCAGACAATACGGGTGAAGTATCCGAAGCTTGATCTTGAAATACTTTTAGACTACCTGATGGTTATGACATCAGAATGAGTTGTGTTACTAAAGGAATCGATATTAGTATTAGCATTAGATTTGTTAGTCTTTGGGTTATTTTTGTTGTGTGTTTGTCTCTCTTTTTTCATTGATAACGTTTTAATGTGGTCGTCTTATTAGAGGTTACAGATCGAATCTAAAATTTGAGATTTGTTCAAATGAACAATTTTTCACTGAATTATGCCCATTGCTCGCTTTTGCTGTGATACGGGTAACAGTGTATTTCTTCGGTTATAATCTCAGATTTCTTGCATGCCACAGAGAGGAAAAAAATTTAACTGTACTTATGTCCTTATTGAATGCTCCTAGAAAAGCGCTTCGGACGCATGAAATTAGTAAACGTGTTGTTTTCAATTTTTTTTTAGACTCTATCTAAGATGGTCTTCCTCTGTCGTAATGGACCATCACCTCACCTACTCTCCTACATATAACACACAATTTGCTCATTTCTAAATGGTACAGAGGTATGCGTTTTTAAGCTACTGTTATTTAAATAACCGTGTATCATTTCTTTGACTTATGATTTTTGATTACCCCTTGAGTATATTCCCCTGATATATGACGGACTTTTAAAACACAACACCAGATTATTTTTTTGAATTCTCATTTTCAAATATGGAATTTTTGTAAAATAAATGTATAAACATAAATTTCATTCATTGTTTTAAAAAAAGTTTGCAGTTCGAAAGTTTAATTGATTACGTCATGTTAAATGTTTAAATCATGTGGTATGCACTGAAACCCTGGTTTTCCCCTTATCAATGGATGTTTCACCGTCGAAGGAAATGACTGCCTGTAACCAATCCCCAAATGATTGACAGAAAGGTCAACCAGTTCTGTTGGGCATATTTTGAGTTCTCTTTTGTACCTTCCGATTTGACCTATGTCCCACCCATCACTGTGCGGTTCTTTTTTTGTATGGATTAAAAGAAATGTTTCACGAAGAAAAAAAAGAAAAAAGTCATTTATTGGTTTCAAATTTTACTTTAAGATATTCTTGCGACTTCAATAATCCGGTATGTTCGATAACCTCTGGTAAGTCAGGTATTGCATTTTTCTAAACAGAAAGAAGTGTGGTGAGCATGAATAGAAGTAATATGAGGATCAATCATAATTTGGTAAAAAAAATCACCAAAATGTGTCCGTCAGTGTATATTCGATTCGCTCGTGTATGTAACAATGTATTTAATTTTAACGAAAGAAACCTATGTATTACTGAAAAATTATTACACCAGGGTTTTCGATATCACAAACTAGTCAAAACATTTACTAAATTTTATCATCGGTACAAGGACATCATTCGTAAATATAAATCAACATGCAGACATCTTATACGTTCAGGTATTTCACATCCAGTCTTTTATGGTAATATTCTATACAAAGTACAAAAATGTAGACAATCACCTCAAAAGCTAACCAAACCTTTAAACAGACTTATTCAGAAGGGTTATAGTTACGATACTGTTGTCAAGTCATTAAGGATTGCATATTTTGGTATTAATATTGATTCACTCAAAGGGCCTTTGCATCGGAAATAAACACATTTATTCTACAACCAGTTGTTGGCATGATACGGGTTATGTTCTTCTCATATATTTTATGATGGTATGATACTAAACCCTTAACGGGAGGGATTGTGCTTGATTTTTATATGATGAAGACATAATCTTTTAGTCAGTTTAATTGAGGTCTGGAGCTGGCATGTCAGTTACTGCTAGTAGTCCTTTGTTAATTTATGTATCATTGTCATTTGCTTTTTTTCTTTTGTTACCTATTCTGACATCGGACTCGGACTTCTTTTAGACTGAGTTTTACTGTGCGTATTGCTGTGTGCTTTTTTATTCTACATTGTATAGAGGAAGGGTTGAGATCTCACAAAACATGTTTAACCCCGCCGCATGTTTGCGCCTGTCACAAGTCAGGAGCCTCTGGCCTTTGTTAGTCTTGTATGTTTTTTTAATATTAGTTAATTTATATGTTTTGGAGTTTAGTGTGACGTCCATTTTCATTGAACTAGTACACATTTTTGTTTATGGGACAGCTGAAGCCCGCCTCCGGGTGCTGGATTTTCTCGCTGTGTTGAAGACCCATTGGTGGCCTTCGGCTGTTTTCTGCTGTTTGGTCGGGTTGTTGTCTCTTTGACACATTCCCCATTTCCATTCTCAATGTTTGTTTATATATATCTACCTTTGTTAATGTCATTCAGCAGTTCATAGGACTGCAGAGAAATATTTTGTGAACTGTTATTCAAATGATCGTGTATCATTTCTTTGACTTACGGTTTTTAATTGCCCCCTTAGTATATTCCCCTGAAAAACATATATCTACCTTTGTTAATATCATTCATCAGTTCAAAGTACTGCAGAGAAATGCTAAAGACTTCATCAGTTCTCCAACCTGAATACAATACTTCATACGCAATACCTGTGTTGTCTGAATTAAGGTACAGTCCTGTCTTTGTATCCATAGTAACATTGAAGATTATACGTGATGAATGTGGAAATGATATTCTAGGTAACTAAAATTTAAAAAAAAAATAGTTTATCTCTAGCTTCTCTGATTTGTCAATAGTGTAAACATATTTCGAATTCGTTATGTATAGCTACAAGATTAAATAAATACGAAATATGCAAGTAATTCAAAAATTGGGATTCGGAAACAAGAGCAGTGCTCCTATATACATCTATTTCCCTGTCAAATCCATGTTCCTTCGGGACAATATAAATAGATTGCCCATGTCTATAATGACGTTTTAGATTTCAGTTAACGTAACCTACGTATAACTAGTAAATTATTAAGTTAGGGATTTCGTTACCACACATTACCTAAAAACTTAACTAATTTATTCCATACATATAAAGATGTGTTTGAAAGTTTTGCCGTACATGTGAAAACCTTATTCCAAACGGAATACCATATGTTTACGGTGATGTTGTTAATAGAGCAGATAAATTAAGATACGATCCATGTAAACTTATTGATCCTTGATAATCTTAAAAGTCATCAATTTTTCACAGAAGTAAGATCTTTGAATATTGTCTTTATCGATATCGCTGATAACATTGATTTTGTTTTTAATGAATTAAAACAGAACGAAATATGTATTGCTAAAAGAGAAGCAAAAAATACAAAAGGTATACTCAAACTCATAAGTCAAAACTGTACCTGCAGAAAACTTATTTCAAACGGAATAGCACATTCTATTTTTTACGGTGATGTTACAAACCGAGCCCATAGACTAACCGTTACAAAGACACCACGGTAAATGAAAAGGCTGACGTCACGGCATCGGTTTAATTATAAAATAACTAATCGAAGAATTCAATTATAGAAAAATATTCAACGAGTGACCGAACAATACATTAATTCACAAATGCGCGTAGCACATGAGTTAATTATCAGTGTTGTTCGGTCACACGAGTTAATTATCAGTGTTGTTCGGTCACACGAGTTAATTATCAGTGTTGTTCGGTCACACGAGTTATTTATCAGTGTTGTTCGGTCACGAGTTAATTATCAGTGTTGTTCGGTCACACGAGTTAATTATCAGTGTTGTTCGGTCACATGAGTTAATTATCAGTGTTGTTCGGTCACACGAGTTAATTATCAGTGTTGTTCGGTCACACGAGTTAATTGTCAGTGTTGTTCGGTCACACGAGTTATTTATCAGTGTTGTTCGGTCACATGAGTTAATTATCAGTTTTGTTCGGTCACACGAGTTAATTATCAGTGTTGTTCGGTCACACGAGTTATTTTTCGACATTTGAATTGTTTGGTTGTTTATTCTTTGTACTACATTGACAATAGGCTTTTAAATGGAAATAAAGAAGAAAATACAAGGAACTATATCTTTTTCTACCCATTCACAATTTGCTTTGATGCAATGTCATCGACAACGTATTGACAACGCCTATTTTTGTATGACGTCAGAGGAGTGAAATTACCGAGTTTATTTCACATGTGAAATTATCGGTTTTTATTTCACCGGGAAATAACAGTAATTCATTTCAACCAATGTAATAAATGAAACTAATTGTAAACATGTTTACAGTACGGGACGTTTGGTGTGAACATGGCCTTATGTAGTTTATTTGAAGAGAAAATGTTAAACTTGAATTAATTCTTATACACTTTACAAAATTACAAATGGAAAAATTCCAATCTAAAAAATGTGCTTTAAGGAATAATGGTTTAAAATAGTTGATACTTATACATATTTCGTGAAAAAATCAGGTAAAGGTAAAGGGGAAATTGGATTGCTTATATATTTTATATATATTTTGATTATTATTCAAGTGTTGCATTCATTTGCATTATTTGACAACCCGGCATACCAAGGTATCCACTTCATGGACTCTACCGAAAGGATTCACACAGGCGTTGGTTCACCAGACGGAGTTTAATTTTATATAAAAATATCAGATTTAGGGGAATTTGTTTACTTTTTGTTTCTTTATTTAGGTATACTTATTAAAATACTCAAAGCATATATAAAACATGTTGAAAGAAACCTGTTTGTTCTCCCAAAATTTACGCTAAACTATATCTAATAATGGTGATAGTCAGTATTCTCACTATTTTTGGACGAACTTTGTGATTACTATAATTACTGTTGCTGAAGGCGCAATATAATAACCAGGAATTATTTTAATTATTGACAGACATACCTTTTATATTATCTCCACACTTTATTTAGAAACAAAAGGGATAGATAACAAATGACAAACATGCACACCAATAAAACTAGACACCTTATTCACTGCAGGACTTCATCAGATGACAATACGAATACGATGTCGCAGGTGTGTTCAATTATACTATATTTCAATGATAATCCTATGTATCATTTAAGGAGGAGTTGCGTGGATAACTTCATTTTTAGAGAGTAGTTTGTATAATCTCTGAATTGAAGTAAATGTGTTTATCGAAATTACGAGGCTCTGCTTATGTCCTAATTGAAATCGATTTAATAAATTTTAATCTTTTAACCTTATAAGAGTGTCAAATTAAAGGAAAGGCCATACATTATTCTGACTAACGATAATTTTACCTCAAAACGCAGTGTCTGATCTTCTTCAAAATGGTGTGCACGTTTGACAACGTCATAGTAGTGTCTTGTTGAGGACAAAAATGTCACTGTGTTTGGTATGTATAGGAACACTGTTATGTTATATGCTGTTCCTGTTGACTTGTCGTCATGATTTATCGCCAGTTTCATTTTACAATTTATCCTGAAAGTTATGAACGGGTCTTTAAAGTTTATCAGAGGTTAACAAAGCAAGTAAAGCAAATATAACCGATGTACAGAAATTAATTTGTTACGTCACAAGTTATGGTCATTGATTTTCCAACACACCATACATAAAACATTTAGAGTTTTCAGTACCTATTTACACAAGAGTGCATACGCTGAAATGTCTCGCCTGCTTTACTAATCATGATGTATTTTATGTTGATAGTCCTAAAGATAAAGTTTTACTACAGGTATCACATAAACTTAACATCATAAATGATCCACGAAAATAAGGTCACGGTCAGAGAAACCAAGCCAGACAGACATGTACACCTTACAATCATTCCATATAGCAAATATAGTTAACCTTTTGTTAATAGTATGCAAGAAACAGACCAAACCATGAAAACCTATTAACCAATAGGTGCGAAAGAAGTAACAAAATGGGATTCATTTAAACAATTAATTTTGTTATTATAAAACACCCATGCAACCACGCAGATAAAGCTTGGGATGGTCATCTTAAGTAAACCATTAAAACCAGGAAACTTAACATTAACCAATGAACCATAAAAATGAGGTTAAGGTCAGATGACCCCTACCAGACAGACATGTATTTCAGAAGGGGACCTTACTACTGAAACTTAACATTGACCAATGAACCATGAAAATGAATTCAAGGATAGATGATACCTGCAAGACATATACACATTAAATCATTACATACACCAAATATAGTTGACCTATTGCTTGTAGTATAAGAAAAACAAACCAAAACACAAAAATATAAATATTGAACAATGAACCGTGAAAATGAGATCAAGGTCAAATGGAACCTGCCAGACGGATATGTTCACCGTTAACTCATTCCATACAACAAAAACAGTTGCCCTTTCGCTTATAGTATTAGAAAAAAGATCAAAACACAAAAACCCAAAGAACTGAGAAAATGGGGTCAAAGTCAAACGAAACCTCCCAGACGGACATGTACACCTTACAATCATTCAATACACCAAATATAATAGTAGATCTATTGCTTGTAGTATTAGAAAAAAAGATCAAAACACAAAACTTAACATTGACCAATGAAATGAGAAAATGGGTCAAGGTCAGACGAAACCTGCCAGATGGACATTTACACCGTACAATCATTCAATACACCAAATATAGTAGATCTATTGCTTGTAGTATTAGAAAAAAGGATCAAAACACAAAAACTTAACATTGACCAATGAACTGAGAAAATGGGTCAAGGCCAGACGAAACCTGCCAGACGGACATGTACACCTTACAATCATTCTATACACCAAATATGGTTGATCTACTGCTTACAGGTTCTGAGAAACGGATCTGATTATGTAACTTAAACTTTGATCACCGATCCATGAAATGAGGTCGAGGTCATGTAAAACCTTATGACGGACTTGTAGAACTTGCAGGGAACCCATATACCAAATATAGTTGACCTTTTATACATAATGAGTTGGAAATTCACATGACAAAAAAAACTTGTTTTTCAAGTGGTGCTGAACCATGAAAATGAGGTCAAGGACAATGAACATATGACAGACGGAAAATTCGTATCATTAGGCATCTTTGTATCACGTATGGAAATCTATGTCTTCTAATCCCTGAAATATAAAGCTTAATACAAAAAGTTTACGCCGCCGCCGGATTGTTATCCCTATGTCTCGTATTCTGCAATTTTCGTCGCAGGCGAGACAAAAAAGCATTAAAGTCTTGTCTTTTAAGTTTAAGTGTAGAAGTTTTCTCATGCAGACAACAGTTTTTTTTCTGCCACTTTCGATGTCTCCATTTGTTCGTATCATCGAGCACATGTTCTTGTAACGTATTCTGCTCCTTCATTTTTGGTTGAAGGATTTACTTCATGATGCATTATCTCCAATAAAAAGCCAAGATGATGTTTTAAACAGAATACAGAATACTTAAAAATAAAAATAAATAAAGAAGCTTTTAAACAATCTGTCTGGATTAAAATATTGAAAATATTTTTTTGCGGAACATATGGAAGCCGTACTCATTTTGTTTAAATGGTTTTGTGGTGTATAGTTATATATCAATCAGACATCAACCCAACTACACAAATAACCAGGGGCATCAAGAGCGCAACTTTCAGTCTTCAACATTAGGCAGGTGTCTGTATAATATGTCAAGTTCTAAATCGATCCGAGTCTATACAAATTGGGAATAACATTATTGAACAATCAATGGTCTGCATACAACACCCAATTCTCCAATAACGAAAAACGTTAAAATATGACAAACGATAAGTACGGACTAGGTTCTTGACTAGGCACCTGCAACCTGGAAATTGGGCGTATTAAAGCAGTTTTCTTTTTCTCTCAGAAATCTCCCTTTGTGATCTCAATTAGTAGATTAATAAAACAACATACAATAAAACAGGAAGACATGACTCATGCGGCGTTTTGCATTTGCGCCCATCTGCACTTCATTTTTTTTATTTGCGCCAATATTTTTTATTTCATTTTTGCCATCTGCCCCTGCCCATGGGGGGTGGAGTGGGATTTCGAGCAGGATAAGTATTCCGTCATTCACAAGCAAGAAATTTTCTGACTTATTTGTTTTGTTGGTCATGAACTTGGGACAAAATTTGGGTATCTATTCGTCTCTCCCTATAAACAGCTAATGAAGCATTCTTTAAGTCTCTTGTTTGAAGGGAATTTTCTTGCACTCCCTGTAACTCTGTTCTTACTATTTTGGCTGGTCTACTTAATATATCACCAGATTTTTTTTTTCTACTTCTAACACGGAGCCGTTTAGCCTCAGTCTTGCGGTAATCTGCAACGTGTATGTTAAGTTTTCACAATTGTCTTCCCATCACTGCCAGTTGTAATCGTAGCAAATTACATGACTTTTTTTATACATCTATAGCAAATATTTCCAATATTGCGAATGTTTGATTGCCTATTAGAATGTCCATCAAAGATAATCGACTTATTTCCCCGGTTTGTTTCTGTGTGCAAAAGACCCATCTTATCATAACCGATAACATATGTGTATTCATGTACACATAGTCGAAAGGTACGAAAGGTTCGATTTGCCAGTTCTGTCTGTTTCACAAAATTTTCATGAAACAGAGAGTTTTTACAATATAAGAATAACACATACTGCAGAAATTTGAGAAATTTTACAGTTCATGCGTTTTCATCGTTTAACAAGTTATTATTTTGAAGACAACCATTGAATATGCTTTACACACGTCTATCCAAGATAAAAAGCTTGTGTGTTTTGACAGAGAATGGCATTTTCCAGTCTTATTATGCTGTACTCATTCCAATTTTAACGATACGTTTACTTACGTCCCATCATGTGTAGATCTTTGAAACTCTGTTAGTTCTGCCAACAGAACTGGTCGTTGATTCCTCACATCAGTATCATCATCTATACTAGCATTAGTACTGCCTATCCATATAAAATCGTCATTCAGTTTAAACCCAATACCCATTTCCATGCTATGCCCATCGGAATATCCTGTCAAAATTAAAAATCAAGTTCACTGGTTTTGAATATTTATACCACATGGATTATTTTTACAGGGGTACATCCAGGCCCTCATTAAATCAAAAAAAAGTACTAAGATGTGTCAGTATTTCATTTTTTTTTTAATTTCTTAGCCCTTCCCCTCCCCCTTAAACCAAAATCATGGATGCTTAAGCAATTTTGTTTTCATTATGAAAAAAAGATGTGGTACCGGTATGATTGCCTATGACACAACTATCCACTCGTGACGTGAAAATTAGCAACTTCATGTTTGTGAGTATGCCAATATGGGCCGAAAGTGTTTTTTGGGCCAGGTGAGCTTTTCTCATCACTTGGCGTCCGTCGTCGTCTGTTAACTTTTTCAAAAATCTTCTCTGAAACTACTGGGCCAAATTTAACCAAACTTGGCCACAATCATCATTGGGGTATCTAGTTTTAAAAATGTGTCCGATGACTCCGCCTGCTAACCAAGATGGCCGACATAGCTAAAAATAGAACATAGGGATAAATGCAAGTTTTGTCTATTATTTTGAAAACCGTTATAAATAGAGAAAAATCTGACAGGAGCACAAATGTTCAGAATGTTGATCTCTACCAATTGTCCATATACGTCAAACGACTTCTTATATCTTATAGGAGTTATTGCCCTTAAATGACAAATTTTACCTTTTTTCATTTTTGCCTATAATCTTGAAAACTATAATAGATAGAGAGAAACTTTATATTGCAAAAATGATCAGCAAGACAAGTTTTACAAGTAAGTTCACATGGTTGAATCGTCAGTCGACTCCTTATTAGAGTTATTGCCCTTTGATGACGATTTTTACCATTTTTATGCGTTTTTGCCTTATATCTTAAAAATTAAAATAGATAGAAACTTAAATAAGCAAAAATTATCAGCAAGACAAGATCTACAATTAAAACAATATGGAGGAAATCGTCCGACAAATCCTTATTGAAGTTATTGCCCTTTAATGACGATTTTCACCATTTTTTTTGCGTCTTGCCTTATATGATAAAAATTATAATAGATAAATAGACACTTTAAATCACAAAAATGATCAGCAAGGCAAGATCTACTAACAAGTCAAATTTTGCCGATATAGTTAGTAGACTGTCACTCTTTATAGGAGTGATTGCCTTTAATGAGAATTTTTTTTACCCTCTTTTGTGTTTTGAGCAAAAACTAACGAAGATAGAGAGAAACTAAACAGACTAAATGATCAGCAAAACAAGATCAACAAAACAGAGATTTTTGTCATGAATTCTATTCTCGTCTACAATGTTGGAGAGTGTCCTTTATCGAATATGCACATAGACCAAGGTGAGCGACACAGGCTCTTTAGAGCCTCTAGTTTTAATAATGTGTTACTCCGTTTACACATTTTTGTATGTACTAGTCATATCTAATTGATAATCTCTTGATTTTCCCAACTTTTCTTTACTAGGAGCAATGCCTTCAAGGGATGGTATTCGGTTGACATTCGAGAAATATTCCCAAATAAACAAAATTCCCTACAATAGTGTTTGATTCCATTTCACCTTTATTTAAAACTAGCATTCCGAAATTCTGAAATTCTGAAATAAATACTACTGATATTTTGATTAAAATATATTATCACAACATTACTTTGAGAGAACGAATTGAATGCGTGGATCAAACTAAAAAATTGTTGGGTTCGCAGTAAGAATTTTCAATTTTGATTAAATTGAACTAAATTTCACAATTCGAATTCGTTTGAACAGTTAAATCAAATATAGGTACGCCATGTGCAGACAGACAGACAGACAGACAGACCCTCTTGCTCTCATATTTTAACATACCCATAAAATCCTGTAGGATACCCTGACATAACAGCGTAAGCATTATAACATCGTTGTCACCGTCTGTTATATTGAGCGTAGGAAATATGATAGTTGCAGTATCTTCTTCTAACGTCATACTCCGTGAAAATTTAGTTATCCCGGAATTAAGTCGTGAATTGAGAATATCGGCTGCACCAATACCAACTCCTGATATTCCAGAAACTGCAAAGTCAGCAATAGTAATTTTGGCTTCTGAAATATAAAATCTATCCCGTGATATATTTATTAGGCATTTTTAATACGGTAAGTATGAATTATTGTTTTACTTCTAAATCAAACTTCTGTTGTTGTTGTCTATTGTACCGGTATTATAGAGTTAAGCGCCTTTTTCCTATTTGATTTTTATTTTTATAAACTAGTTCAGCCCCGACACATGTTCAAGTGCATGTACCAATTCAGGAACCTCGTCAATGATTTTTGAGGTTATATCTTCACGTTTTTGTAATAAAATTTTAGGAATTTGATGTCAATGGCAGGTCTTTGATATTCTCCTTAAATCTATAATGTATAAATATGTAACCTCATATTTCGTTTTTGTTCATATTGACAATGGGAAGAACGTAAGTGGTGGTGGTAGTGAATTTCTATTAACATTAAAATAAAAAAGACTAGAAAGTTAACATTGAATCAATTTTTTAAAGTTAGATAATATTTTGGTGTATATTGACCATTTTCAAAGTTAGATAATATTTTTATGCATCTTGACCATTTTTTAATTCTCTTTGGTTTCATATCTGTTCTGTGTACCGAGTTGTCTTTCTTCGTCTTGTCATAATAATAGATAAACTCAAAACATCTCTGATATATAATTGTCTTGCAAGACAATAATTCGTCATCAGTTTGATCCGAATGCATGCGACCTATACTTAGATCCCTAGTTGGAGATTGGTTGTGTGTATGTGCTCAGCATCTTCAGTAATTAAAAAGAAAAAGACATGACAAAATTGACAAGTGAAACAAGGGATCGAGCCACTAAGAATAATTATTTCGTTGACTGATTCGATACAGGTTATCGTCATTATTCTATTGCGCGTGCTTTTCTGTTTGTTTACAGTTATGTTTATGTTTATATCGGGCTAAATGAGCATCAGCAGTTGTTCAGAAGTCATCTCATTGGTAAATTGTGTGTCATCTTGTCCTAAAATACACATTCATGCAATGTTTATTGTTTCCTATGAAACTTTTGTAATTCTTGTTAATATTTTAGTACGTTATAAATCAAATTAAAGAGTTTTAAGTCAATTCGTTGGGAAGGAACTTTTCAGCTAATGTCCCGTTAAGGTAGGACTCATTAAACATACCCTTTTCAAACTGTGCAAGTCAAATGTATATAGTCTTGTTATACCCTCTCAGTGGGAAATCTAGTGACAAAATATTACCTCCCCTGTAAACACCGAAAACTAGATCTTCTCAATGTTTATCCCATTTTAGCAAGGACGCTATCAATTATGGATTCACGGAAAAACGTTCTGGTAAATAGTAAAACTAGAAATAAATTGAAATAAAAACAAAACTTCGACTCAATGTTATCATTTTCCTCCTTAAGTATCAAACGACGAGTGCAGCAGGCTAAAGATGTTTGGAGTAAAATTGGTTTAAATGTTGCTATGCAAATAAATTCCTGGAGTACCAACTTCAATTTATTTTTTTACTGTCTGTATTCCTCTCTGTAACATGCTAATTATTCGTATATATATACAGCTAGATCAGAGAAAGTCAGGGAAAAAATCTCAAAGGAATCGATTGATATGCAGCAAAGATTGGAACTTTTGAAATTAAGTTACTAAGCAAAATCAAACAGACCTTATCTCGATGTAAACAGTGAATGTGAATAGATCGAGAAGACCGTAAATACTTGTACAAAACTCGAGACGACCTTTTCTTAAAATTGTATACAAAATAGTAGAAAGATACCTACTTCATAAAAATAGTTATCTTAAATTTTTTTTTACCTGCATAGACAGACTTTTAAATGTTTATATTCACGAAAATACAATAGTTCTCTGTTGAATGTACATGTGACAAGAGCAGACCGGTGTGCTCGATAACTTATGTGTAAAAAAATAAGCATACTTTGGGAAATTGTAACATGCTAAGGACTTTTTGGAACACTCAGAAAATTGGTGACCAGAAAAATCTTTCGATTTTGTATGTACATGATTTTTTCCAATTTTATTTATCAATATGCAGCAAAGATTGGCAGTTTTTAAATTTCAGTTTCACAAGCTTCTAAAGCAATTATCTCGATAAATACTGAACATAAAACATCGTGTATTTGCATGTATATTTCTCATAACACAGTTTAATAAATAATTTCTTTAAAATGTACAATTATTATTTAGAAATAACTTTTGATCAGTATCGTCACCGGTATTGTTTTATTATTGACTTTCTCGACTCTATCATAAGAAGAGTGAATTTTCTTTTGTTTTCGTTCACTGGATATCCCACTGCTCTTGAACATGTTACATGTAATTACGATATCCTAGCGAATTAGAACAAGTACTCCATTTAACTGCCTCTGTGTCATCGCCACCGGGTATTGGGTACCACCGAAGCGGAAAGAGCGGACAAAAAAAATACACATGTTGAGATTTTCTTTCATTCAAACTATTTCTATCGATTTGATAAGTCAATTATTAGGATGTTTGGCAGAAATCTACCAGGGGTTTCAAGAGTAACGATGTGCCAGACTTCTCTTTTAGAACGGATAATTTTCATGAACATGAAATTAATAAACCTTGATTTTACTTCAATACTGTGTAAAAATATAACAAGTAAGACTTGCACTTGTCTTATAGCACGAGGTTATTTTGATTTTCAAGCACACTTTCTCTGTTTTGATGATTCATTATTAAAGTACATGTTTTTCACTCGACCAATATTTGGTTTAATAGTTATATGAATTATTCATGTTTTAGCTTAAAATATGAAAATATTTTAATCTGAAGCGATGAAATATCGTCACTTTTGTTTTCATACATTTTTAGGACACGGCTGTGTGTGGATCCGACTCAAAATACGCTTGAACGTCAAAGGTGTACCCGACTTCATCTTTCATGGTTAGATAATATACCGTTTTCAGCTTTTAAAAAAAAATTGATG